TATCCTTGGTAGGGAAATGGGAGCGGGGTGAAACACGAGGCTTGTGTAACCTCTGTCAAGGGTGTTCCCTGCAGGAGTTCGTACACGTACTGAAGCCGAAGCCCCAGCGAACCTCTACAGAAAGCCTGACGGCTTATCAGGTCCGGGAAGCCTGATGCACCAACACATGGGGAAGGCCTGCCGGCTTATCAGGCCGGGGAAGCCTGAGGCACCAACACTTGGGAATAACCTCATGCCAGGATATATCATAACACTTTATTACCCGAATTATCCTAACTACTAAGCTTAGTCGCTATAAGTAATACAAATACGTGTAGTATATAAGAGGTTTGATTAGTTGAGTGGTTATTTCAGAATAGGTAGAGACAGGTTAGCGATAGATTAGTATATTAAGTTTCTCTTTCTTGAAGTTTAGTATAAGGGAGCGATAGGGTAGGCAAACTCTCGCCCTGAATATATCCTCGACAGAATAGATATCTGCCGCAAAAGCATCGTCGAGGATTGCTATTGAGAGTACAAGAACAATAATATCGAAGGGAGGTTGTTTAACTTCAGATATTAGAAAGATTTTTCTGTCGGATTTACGCTGTGTGTATAAACCCTGAGGTGTGCTTGTAGGCGCACACAGGTCGATCGAATACCACGATTATAGAAGAGAGACGAAAGTGCAATAGAGGTAGGTCGGTGTTATGATATATCCTGGTATGAGGTTATTCCTAAGTGTTGGTGCCTCAGGCTTCCCCGGCCTGATAAGCCGGCAGGCCTTCCCCATGTGTTGGTGCATCAGGCTTCCCGGACCTGATAAGCCGTCAGGCTTTCTGTAGAGGTTCGCTAGGGCTTCGGCATTAGTACGTGTACGAACTCCTGCAGGGAACACCCTTAACGGAGGTTACACAAGCCTCGTGTTTCACCCCGCTCCTATTTCCCTACTAAGGATATATCTCCTTCCTGTTTGAGTGATGAGACTGTATATAAATTGACCTATGTTGAAGAGGTTTTGCGATCCTCAAGAAACAGTTCTTGACCTTTCTACACTATTGACTTAGCTCTATTTCTCCTACCTGATTGATAGGCCTCTATCCTGACTTATAGAGTATATCCTTACAGTCGGCAGCGAACAGGTTGAACAGTGGAAGGTTAACACAGTTTAATTAGAATTGCCTTGAGCTCTATTCGTGAGTGGAAATAGTGTCAAACTTATTCAATTTAACTAGGGAAACAGGCAGTATTTATAACTTTGGGTATATAGCAGAATGTCACAGGAAAAGACTGATGAGAATCCGAAATAACGTGGGGGCATACGAGAGTGTTAGGAAACTCGTTGCTCTTTCTATTTGATATAGTAGTTGATAATCAGTATCGTATATCATGAAGCGGTGTATATGGATGTAGGTTTATGCATCCGATTGCATTAACGCGCATACGCATGCATGCGCTCGCTTAATGCAGGGATATGCACACACACATATGTTGACGTTTTCTCTATAAGTGTTAGCTTAGATAATAGGTAGGGAATTTCAGCGACTGACCTCTTTAGTTTGCTATAGTGACCCTTAGTATACTTTAAATCAATTTCTATTATAAGGTAGTCACGGATGCCTCCCGGGTTTAGGAGCAGGATTAAGCTGATCTAGCTGTAACAGAGAGTCTTTAAGTTATCTTCTCTAAGGTCCTGTCGGATTTACGGGGTCAGCATAAATCCTTCGGTCGTGCACAAGCAAGCGAGTGTGCACGATTGGTCAAATCAGTATACGATTGGCGAAGAATTGTATAGGTCAGGTTAGGTCGTACGATTCGGCTCAGAATCGGAAGTTAACTTATGATAGAAGAATGCTCCAACTTCATCACAATCATTAAACTTGATTTAACTAGCTATGGAAAACAGGCAATATTTATAACTTCATGAAATCGAGGCAATACATCAGACTAGAATCTCATAGAAATCAATAGAAATATAGAGTGTTGAAGCTCTTTCGTCATGTGTGCAATCTGTTGATGTCAATCGTTGAAGATCGTCGTCACGTGGTCGTTCCGTCGCATTCTGTCAAGTTCGATCGCTCTCATGGGCTTATGCACCCACTCTCTTGGGGCTTATGCACCCACTCATGTCGACAGGTCCTAATCTTCTTTAGGTTCTTCGTTATTATCTTTGCGGCCGAAAAAGTGCTTCAGATTAATTCGCTCGTTTCTCTTAACATAAACTAATACACCGGGCCGACTGCTAGTATAAGCCGATACTAGTAAAAGAATAGTGTCTCTTGTCTAATAGTGGTAAAGGATAATATATAAATCATCTGTCAATATGTGTGTGTGTGCGTATCCCCGCAATAAGCGAGCGCATGCATGCATACGCGCGCTAATGCAATTGGATGCATAAATCTGCATCCCTATACACCGCTTTATGATATACGATGCTGATTATCAACTACTGCATCAAATGGGAAAAGCAACGAGTTTCCTAACACTCTCGTATGCCCCCATGTTATTTCGGATTCTCATCAGTCTTTTCCTGTGACATCCTGCCATGTACCCAAAGTTATAAATACTGCCTGTTTTCCTAGCAAAATAAAACAAGTTTGACGACAATGTCATAAGTTTGACACCATTTTCACTCACGAATAGAGCTCAAGGCAATTCTGATTAAACTGTGTTGACCCTCCACTATTCAACCTGTTCGCTGCCGACCCACCTCTATTGCACTTTCGTCTCTCTTCCATAATCGTGGTATTCGATCGACCTGTGTGCGCCTACAAGCACACGCACCAGGGTTTATGCACACGGCGTAAATCCGACATCATCGACGTTTATAACCGGTTCCTCCTTAACGCTTATATTAAGACTGTATCGGGCGGTAAGATTTTCTTTTATATACTACTTTTAACGGTCAGAAAGCAAAATATCTAAAAGGCAAAGTAAAATTTATATTATTAATATCTTAGGAGCACTTCGTATAAAGACTTCGCCTAACTACCTTCCGGTATAGCTAACACTATTGCCTCTAATACTTATATAAGCTACTGAACTTCTTAACGTTAAAATTGTTAAGTATCTACTCGAGAAATAGTATAATATCTTCTTTCCGAGCTATAATAAGGAACTAGAATAGGTCTTCTCCTAAATAGTTATAGAACCTATTCTTATCAGTCTCGCTTCGATCTTAATCGTTAATATAAGTACTACCTTATCTACTATCGCTTGATTTAACCAATATTGTTTTTGGTAGAAATAGTATATTGCTTTTATATAATACCTTTCTCTAGTTATTAACAGCGTCGGCAATAATACTCGGTACTATAAGGTTAGCTTTTGCCTTTAATAAATAAATTAGGAATAGATATAGCCTTAAATAGCAGTCTCTTTAATCGGAGGAGAACAGTAGGGTAAGAGAGGGGGAAATAATACTAAGAGAAGGAACGAACAATAAGAGAAGCGGTAAAGACCGAAGCCTAGAGAAAACCTAGTAGTGGAAGAGACAACAGAATAGACTACCTTTAAACAAGGAGGGGTGCAGTAAGCAAGAGCTACGGTTGATAGGGGGAGGCAGTCTCTTTAAATATTGAAAGAGTGGACTGGAGCGTGGCGTAGCGTATAACGGAAGGACCTTTCTTTTTTTTGCAATCGACGGCTCTAATCGGATAACATAAAGGAAAAGACATGACGACATGCTTGAATGCCTACCCTGAGCATCCTGAGTGAAGAGTGAGCTGATCCCTGAGCAACCCTGAGCCACCATGAGTGCCCAGGGAGCAATTCATATCCACTCAGGGAGCATATGGAAATGGTGGGCAGAAACAGATCACGTGAATGCTCGGTGACTAATATTCTGGTAAAAAGGACGCTTAAAACAGCGTCAAAAGAAGCCGTTTTCGGCGTCGAATTTACCGTTACCTAGCATTGTGGTGTAATATTAAGTGGCCACTACAGTGGTAGTTCAACAGTCTGAGTCTAGAGACTAGAGATCCCCTAATAGATATACTTCCACTTCTTGGTTTTTGAAAGGTCTTTCTAAAGGTCCTTTCAATCGTCTTTCTCGACAGGTTAGGTATCATTATTGAGTCTATCATTCGACTTGTGACTGATAAGATGATTATGAACTTTGGTCATAGTTTCAAACTTATGAAACCCCACTGTAATTGACCTTCCGGAATCAGCCATCAATCACTGTCCTTTCTCTCAGGGGAAGTTCACAGTCACTCTGCCGGGCGGGCTGAAAATGTCTCCGCTCTCCGCTTGGGGGCGAAAACGGCTCGGCGCGGCGCAGCTAAGATCTCTTTCCGGTGGGTCCTCGAATGAGTTCTTGACCTGAGATTAACCAATGGTAATGGCGAAATATGCGCCGTTGGTGAAACTAATGCATCGGGACACGGAAAGTGGAGAGTTCATGCAGGTTAGGGATATGAATGACTCGTGTGGTCTGTAGTCGAACGAAACCTCTATGTATGGGATAGGCGAGTGCTCAAGCTCTTTCTCCTACATTTACAAGATATTGTGTTCCCTAAAGTCTGAATTGGCATTGACATTCAGAGCTAGTGGAATAATTTAACAGGGCAGGCTAAGCTTGGGATCTAGAGGTGATGTATGCAAGCACGCCAACGGCGCTCATATCATTGCCCCGTTGGTCCGCTTTGATGATCCAGCACTACTGTACTAGCCTGAGCACAGTCAAATTTATTCTTTGAATTTGCCGACAAGGGGTTCAGCCCGGTTCACCGACCAACCACGTGTCCAGGAGTTCCTCCAAACCTGCAGGAAGGGGGATGTTGCCAGGAGTTTTGCATCTCCCCAAACACAAACTAATGCAACACTAGAGCGGATATGTATCGTCCTCCGCGATCAACCAGGGCCCTTGACCTCCCCAGTAACCCTTAGTTAACTATAGATAACTTTCCGTGTCAGCAGCTGAGATGGAAATGATACCTTTTATCCATCCATCCAACTCCTTTTCCAAGAACATACCCCACCCTGCTCGAGCAAAGAATTCAGCCTCGACAGCTTAAGGAATGGGGATGGCCGGGGGCCGAAATCGCTTGCTTGACTTGCGCCACAAAAGAGCCGAATCCAGCATATCACTAGCCGACGGCCAGCCTTCGAGCATTTCTGATCAAAGCTCAACAAAAGTTGCAAGCTGGTTTCGAGTGCCTAAAAAGGATATCAATCTCAAATCTGTCAATGAACAGATAGAAGAGCTATCGAAAACACATAATCACATCACTACTCAGCTCAACGAGGCCCAGCGTCTTCGTCAACTCAAAGAGCATGGGCTAGACCCGAGTGAGATGACCTGGATTGATGGCACTATCTCAGACATTGAGGACGCAACTTACGATGTTGCGATTTTGCTAGAGCCTACGCGTGTCGAGAAAGCGACCAGTAATGGGAAGCTCAGCCTAGGGACACAGATCCGTTGGTTCTACCGAGATAGCCAGCGAGCCCAAGACAAAAAGCATCGGCTGCTGGCATGTCATTCCAGTCTTATGGCAGTTTTGGCCCGTCTACAACAGGTGGATATTCCAGAGGCAATTGTCGTACATGAGATGGGCACGGAGACGTCATCCAAAAGTAACCTCTGTAGCTCGTCGAGCCTCCAGGGATCGGTTGATGGATTCTATGAGCCCATGGAAGGTAGACAGGGCCCAACAGTCTCCGGATCCCTTACTAGAGAGATGTATGATATGCTGGCCTGGCGTCAATCAAAGGGGAACTCCACTCCATGAGGCGTTGTTCTCAAGTCCATCCGGAATTCGATGAGCATGTATTGTAAGGTTTTCGCTATTTTTTTTTTCTAATTCGGCAACAATCGCGGATAATTAAGTACAAAAGATTCAGTTCTGTGGCATGCTATTCAAAGATGCATTTCAAATCTGCGCCTTCGTCTCATTCAACAACGACTGGGGAACAACCAATCGTCTACCCTGCTCATCGTGAAGCTTAATCACGGATGGAAGCACCGCTATCGAATTTGTCTCACTGGCCATTGACCAGTGGAACTCAAATGAGCATGGCTGCGAAAATAACCAGATGCCGAGCCTGGACGCTTCTCGAACCACGCTTTGCAGGTGAGAGAGGCGGTCCATTTGGGAAAAACGCGAGTCACCATATGGTGCAAAGGTTCGGTTGAAGTCATCGGCGATGTTTGCAATTACCTCGTTGCGTACGGCCAGATCGTTAGGATTGGAACTTTGGCCCCGGATGTTGAGATAGGAGGTCAACATTCGCCATGCAAAAGTCGCATGATCGTCATCTATATCATAGAGACCAGGGACATCAGTCTACAGTATCCGTAAAGGAAAGAAGGGCTAACATACCGGACATCGAGGGCGAGTTTTCTCGAGGTTCCCGATCAATGCCGTAGCATGCCGGTAGTAGAGATCGGGTCGAATTTCCGGGACGGATACTTTGTAGGAGATTGTGTATCAGGACATGAGTGAGAACAACTCTCTGATTCCGGGAGCTGGAAAGCAAAGAGGCTAGCTGTGTGCCTAAGAATGGCGAGCCATAGTCATTGACGCGGACGGTATCTTCCTGGCTCAGTCGAGGGGCAAAATCTTGCCGCGAGTAATAATTGTCGATATGCAAGCCAGCTTGATCAAAGAAAGTCTGTATTCGCATACAGATAGTGGTGTCGTCCGCAGGTTCGGGAACATAACGGGTCAGGTCAAAAGACCTTAATGTCATGAAATTAGGAGACACGTGGGAAGGTTCTTTGTACCCTGCGATGATGGAAGAGTTGGGATTCTTGCTGAGACTATCTGTGGGATCCTTTGGGGACTCAGGAGTGCCGGATAAAGAGCCCTGTCCGTTCTCCAAAGCGCTAGACGCTCTTTTTCGATAACGGCGAAGCAGAAAAGCGATCAAAAAAGCTATGATTAAACCGCCTAGGAAGGAACCCACAATAGAACCTGCAAGAGCTCCAGTGCTGTATCTGCTTCCCGAAGTGTTCTTTTGTGATGCGTCATTTTTAGGACCAGCAGTCTCAGAGGGGATGCCGAGTGTCGACGAGAGGACCGATGAAGAGGATCTCAACGCCGAGGTACTCTGGTCTGTTGATGTAGATGTTGTGTATGTATTCGCAACAGAAGCCTCTGAAGTAGTGGCGGTGGTCGTAGAAGTAGAAATTGAGTCAGTAAGGGTGGGAGTAGCAATAGAGGTTGGGGTGGTGGAAGAAGTCAAGGAAAAACTAGAAGATGTAGTAGTGGTTTCAATCGCAGTCACAGCTGCGTTGGATGACGGTCCACCCATTCTTAATATTTGGACTTTTGATTATTCAGAGGTTGATACTGGAAGGTCGAAGGGTTTCCTGCGTCGGGATCCTATTACCTTTAAGAAATTTTCCCTATCTGAGATAGATCCTATTATGATTGGGGTCTTGGGGGATTGTTACGAAAGAGGGCCATGCACCTCACTAGTCGAGAACCATACATTAGTCGAACGCCTCGTGCAGCTGTGGGGCGTGATGGTGTCAACAACCTTGTCAGGGGCCGGAGTATTCGACCAAACCGGAAATTGGGCAATTGGTTCAGATGATCCTTGATTTTGACAAATAATTCAACTATGGTACTGATGCCCATTGAAATCACCACGGACACTCCAGCTCCCCTCTACCATCCGTATCTGGGGATTTGAATAATTTCTATCACAAAACATGTCTGAGAAGGAGGTTTTGATCATCAGGGGCCAGGGTGATGGTCAAGATGGGTGGTCTCCTGATATTGTTGTAGGCGTCGATTTTGGAATGACCTATACAGGTAGGCCCGCTCTGTACAAACTCATAGCGACTCAAAGATTCTAATAATCTTGGTATTCATGTAGGTGTTGCTTATTCCTCCGCACCAGAATGGCTCCCTCCCAAAACAATTCAACGCTGGCCCGGAAAATTGCCTGGAGAGCTCTCAAACAAAGTGCCTACCTGCATAGAGTACGATGAAGAGTCAGGAAATGTGAAGAACTGGGGCTTTTTGTGCGACCCCGAGGACAAGAGCTGCAAAGTAAAGGAATTCTTCAAGCTCCATCTTGCGCCTCAGTATCACGATGACTATCCAGGTTGTCCGACTCGTCTCGAGGCGCAATGTTGGTTTCGAGACTACATCCAGTGTATCTATCGACATATAGTCTCTCACTTCGTCTCCACAATACCTCAATTCGTTTCGCGTCACGTTGAATTCCTTTTTAGCGTGCCGACTACATGGAAGGATGTGCGGATGGTGGAGGAAACTCGAAAGATTCTCAAACAAGTAGTTTGCTCCAAAACACCAATGCATCGGGTTTCAATTGGCTTGACCGAAGCAGAGGCAGCTGCTGTCTATGCAGGGAATGAACATTACCATGTGAGAAACGCGTTTTGATTCCTGGGCATTCAATTGATCTTGGGCTGATACAACGGTGATGCCATAGGAAGACGATACTCTTCTTGTCTGTGATGCTGGCGGAGGAACCACCGTAAGGAGCTCCGATGCTAACATTGGTTTGGGAGTATCCTCTAATTACAAAGCAGGATGTCAACGTGCTGAAGCTGACCTCCTCGCGGGGAGAGCCTACAAGACTTGAGCAACTTGGTCACGTTGAAGGTAATTACTTGAAAATGTTCGGAAAGCAACTTTCTACTGATGTACTGATGGTCTACCAGGTCTACCAATTGGCTCTGTCTTCATCGACAGGTTCATTCATCAACTCATGTGTGAAAAATTGGAGCAAATACGTCAACACCTTCAACTTACTCCGAGCGAGGTGGCCTGGAAAATGATTTCAGGTCGATTTTAAAGGTTGAAATGTGCCTTTGGCACTGAAGCCACCCTGACTCCCTGGTTGAAGCTAGATGTGCCCTCTCTAGAGTCCAATTCCAATTTCCCAGAGGCGGATATATACAACGGACAGATGCAAATCGCATGGTGACTTATGCTCTACTTTCTCCCATATGAATTTTTGACTGAAACCTACAAAGGGACGAGCTTAAAAAGGCGTTTGATCTTAAAATTGATGAAATCATCAATCTTGTGGATGGACATATCCGACAAATGCATGCGAAACATCCCGACGTCAACATTGTATGTCAAGTCTCTCATTGAAGAACTTCGCATTCGGCGCTCTCAGTCTGACGGTGATGCAGAATTATCTGGTATTATCGGGTGGTTTTGGTAGCTCTCCCTACGTAAGGCAGCGCCTTGTGGAGAGCTTGACCCTCAGGGGACCCGATGGCAATCTCGATGCGGACGGCATGCATATCCTTGTTGCTGATGAGCCGTAAGTCGGAACGTTCAATTTACAGGCCAACATCCAAGTAATCTTAGAGGCTGCTGACACATGACCCAATATCACTAGGCAACTTGTTGTGGTCCATGGCTTAGTGTTAGATCGGATACAAAAGATCAAGAGTGACGTAGTCACCTTTGGATCCCGATGTGCCCCAGTAAGCTATGGGATCATTTGCGACAAGATCTATCACCCTGAGAAGCATATTGGAGAAGCGGTGCGCCATGATCCAAGAGATAAGATGACCTACGCGATTGACCAGATTGACTGGCTTGTTATTCAGGTGAGTGCCAAGCTATACCGCTCATTGTTCCGTGATCTCCCCAGGCTCGAAAGATAGCTAACACTTCTTCCATTCAGGGCCGTCCTATACCGAGTACTGGGTTAACGAAACAATTCCAACTTAAGATAGATCCAGGCCGGGAAAGTGAGCCCTGGAGAGTGAGCATCGTTATGTCTACTCTACCACCTGATCAAATTCCCCACAATCTGAGCAGCAAGGGAGCCCAGCGGATTTGTGATCTGGATATCTCCACTGATAGTGTGGATAAGAAGTTGAAAAATCGACATTGGTACAGCATGAAGCCAGCATTTTGGAGATCGACATTTGATGTGAGAGTTGTGGTCGGGCCAGCAGACCTCTCGTTTCAGCTGTGGTCGCGAGATAAGAGGATCCAAGCAAGCAAACATGAGCCTATTGCTGTAAACTGGATGCCTGCCAGTAACTTCAACTAATCAGGAGTTGATACTATGATTTTGAAACTTCACATGTGAGATGCATCAGGTTTGTTGGTCAGGCATTAATCAGATACATCAACCGCCTTCTTTCATCACCTAGATTGCCTCAAAGACCCAACAACTGTATTCATTTGTTAAATAATTTATCCACTTCCTTTTCCTGTGTTCCGAAGAACATTGGCTTTCCCTTGATCCTTGTATCTTTCTCAAGCGGAAGGGATTCTTTCCGGTCCCCCAGAATGACATTGCGCACTAATCCAATTTAAGCCAAAAGGTGCGATGGAATGATGAACGAACTGCGTTCGTAGAAATAGTCCGAAGCCGTAATTTACTACAGAATCATTTGAAGATCTATTTATTCGGCGACTTAGTTTCCTTCTAACCTAAACATCCTGCTCATAAATACTACTATCGACCTCAACACCACCATGACCCGATCAAAAGAAGGCTTTCTCTGGACTCCCCAAACAACCACAGACGGCCTAGAAACCGAAGCCGTCATACAAAGCTCCAAAATCATAAAATCTACTTACGATGTCATCGTCATCGGAAGTGGATTCGCAGGACTCATCGCCGCACGCAATCTAACACAAGACTCTAGCCTTCGCGTCCTTCTCGTCGAAGCACGAGATCGTATCGGTGGTCGAACGTGGACAGTGAAGGCATTCGGTGAAGAATTCGAGATGGGTGGGACTTGGGTACATTGGAACCAGCCTCACTTGTATAATGAACTTCATCGTTATGGGCTCCACCGTTATCTGAAGACCTCGGCGGGAACTATGAAGCCTGAGAAGTATTACTTCAAGCCTGCCCATTCCCCGGTCCGGGGGATTTCACCAGAGGAGAGTGTAGCTGCTCTTGAACGAGTTGCTGAGAGGTTCTTTCGATTGATGGGTTGGATAGTCGTGCTCTGATGCCTTTTCCTCATGAGCCTTTCCGGGAGCCGGCTATTTGGATGAAATATGACCATCTAACCGTTAAGCAGCGGCTTGACCATTTGGGCGGGTTATCGCAGTTTGAGAAGGACATATTCGAGTCCAATGTGGCGACTTTTGGTAGCGCGCCTGGGAGTGATATCGGTTTCACCGAGGTGCTTCGCTGGTTTGCACTTGGGGGACATAGCATGGCCGGCGTCTTTGAACGAGCTGGCATCTATAAGCTCGGTAATGGAGGGATGACAGCATTTGCACGGGCTATTTTGCGAGACTTCCAAGGCGACGTGTTATTCAACACTGTCGTGCAGAAAGTCGACCAAGGTCGGAATGGCGTCTCACTGCAAATGCAGGATGGCAGACGAATCGATGCCAAAGCAGTTGTATCGACCATTCCTCTGTGAGTATATTCAAGCATTTCATCGAGTGGCTGGGACTAAAGTTGAATAGAAACTGTCTCGGCGATATCACATTCAACCCACCACTAAGTGCTCTCAAAACCGATGCCATTGCATCCGGTCATATCAACAAGGGAGCCAAGATACATTTTAGCCTCGCTGCCACCGAACCTGGCTGGTTTGCGACTTGTAGCGCCTCTGGTACATCGCTATACGTCTTCGCCCTTTCCGATCACAATGGACACGAGCCATCCGGTCCACGGGGAACATGGTGCATTGGGTTTGGGTATAACGGGCATCTAGTCGACAAGAGGAATAGCAAGGGGATCATTGAGGCGTTTCGAGAGAATCTTCGTCCTGATGCTGAGGTCCAGGCGTATCTCACGCACAATTGGATGAATGACCCCTACGCTAAGGGGAACTGGAGCTGTTGGGGACCGAACAGATTCAGCCGCTCCGTTCAGGAGTTGCAAAAGGCCGATGGCAGGGTTTTCTTCGCAAGTGCAGATTGGGCGGATGGATGGAGAGGGTTTGTCGATGGAGCTATTGAGAGTGGGCAAAAGTCTGCAAATGATGTGAAGGAATTCCTGAACAGCCAGCACCGAGTGAAACTGTGAGGTAGTACATAGCAGGGTTTTGTATATGATCAATTTCCTACAGTTGATTACGAAGACAGGAGAATTGAATTGGATCTAGCGATATGATATAGACATGTAATCATTAGCACCTAGTCTAACATCCAGACAGAAACAGCGCCCGTAGATGATATCAAGATCGATGCAAATTATTGAAAGGGTATCGGCAAGAAATGAAATAGAGCAGGGGCCACTAAGAAGTGGCCTGTTCCTCGGTCTCCGAAGGGCTCTTTCCATCTTCAACGGCCTTGCCCCACGCCTGCTCGAATGCAGAGTCTGTGACGGCCTCCGATGCCGACTGCTCGACAGGAGAGACAGTCTCGAGTTCTTGCACATCGTTGTCAACGAGGACGGGTACGCTCTGGGCGATGTCCTCACTAGGAGTCTCTGGCTCCTTCTCGACCATCACATCGGCGAATGACGCCGAAACGGGCTCAAACTCAGCTGAATCGCCAACTTCAGCTGCGGCAGTCTTGCTAGCACCAAGGAGCTCAAGCTCAAAGTTCGAGCTATAAATCACAGCCGAGAAGGCCTCCAGTTCACGAACATTCTGGTCCATGGCAACCAGATACTCGTTAGGAGGGTGGGTACCATTTCCAATTACATGGGCCTGACGAGCCAAAACAGCCAAAAGGTTGGCAAGCTTGGTCTTTCGCTCAGTTGAGGCGGGGACAACAGTGGCCATGGAGTCGAATGACTGCGGCACTGTCGTGGTAGCCGAGCCGGAGGTCTGGAAGGCCTCGTTGGCAGATTTGGTGTCTACGAGGGTGGAGAATCCTTCATTGTTAAGGAGGGTAAGGACGAAGGAGAATGAAGGCGAGTCGATAAGATCAGCTGTCTCATCGAGAAGGTGGCGCAGCTTGGAGGCAGTCTGCGAGGAAGATGGGTCTGCAACTCCCTCGACGCCCGATTCACGTAGAACGTATTCCTCCTCCTCCGTTGGGGGAAGCAAGCAAGACAACCACTTCTTGGTACTGTTGAGGAAAACCTGTCAGCTGTCTGAGATCTCAATGATATTGTACTGGGTGGGGACCATCATACCGTCGCTCCTCTTCGGTGTTTCCTTCGACCTTCCTCCGAATCTGGAGGGTCAACTCCGACAATTTGGCCAAACTGATATCTTCGCGAGGGTTAAGAGGACCGAAGACCTCCTCCACAGCGGGTTGAACACGTGCTACCAGCTCCTTCCAGCCTCGGTGCAATAGCCACCAGCTGAAAGCCAGGTATCGCCTGTTTGTCTCAAAGTCATCGCCCAGTGTTTGAGTCAGCTCGTCGTCGTGATCCTCTAGGCTGATCGTCGAGTCGGCTGGGGGATTAGCCAGCGAGATGACGCTGGAGAGGTAGTTACGGCGGCCGAGGAGATTGAGTTGGATGCGGGTGAAGATGGTGAGCAGCGAAAGGGTATAGATGAGGGTGAACGAGCGTGTGATAGCTAAGACGTGTTAGAGATTGGAATAGGCCATCACCATGAGTACACACGGTTATAGCTGGGAGAGACTGGATGGCATACAGGTGATCTTCACCTCGTTCCACAACTGCGTCTTGTTCCGTTTCGGCGGGGCCAGGGCTTCCGGGTTCACCGACTCGCCCAGCTGGCTGGTGTGGAGATATCCTTCACTCTGGAAGCTGGATAGACTCTTCCGGTCATCCTCGGTCATACTGGGTGACACTGAAGTCATGTCCGAGCCAGCTGTCTCCCCAGCATTCAACCGGGCCAACCTCTCCGCCCGCTTCTTCTGAAGTTCCTTCGTCAACTCCTCAACAGGGAGGGCTTCGATAATATTTTCCGTGGCAGTGGGAAGCAATGCAAGGACGGTATAGGTACAATCGGTCTGGTTCTGCTCGAATCGTCGCCGCAAACTAGAAGGCTTGTTGTTAGCTCTCGGACCCTGAGAACCGAGCCTGTCACAAGCTCGCGTGCCAACCGAAGCCAGACCGGCCAGCGATGGGAAACCGCCAAGCTGGCGGAGGATACATACTTCTCACGGGCAATTCGCTCACTGCTCATTCGCTCACGGGCTTCGGAGATCTTAGACAACACATATTGCCCAGCCAGGTAGCCAGCACCCAGCACACCAGCCCCGATCGCAAGACCTTTGCGATTGCGCCGGAACCAGCGCCGCGCGGCACCGATCATGATGAAAATGGGCGGAGATACTCTATTCAAGATGATCCAGGTGTCAAATTCCGGGGATCATGATATGTGCAGTGAATGTTGTTGGATGAGGGAGACAAGTTGGAGACGGCAGAAGGCCTCGGGCGGCAACTGACCCCAGACTCTCAGCGGCCTCGGCTAGTTGGACTTGGCTATGTGCTTGGTCACATAAGGATATGACGATACCACTATGATGTGCCTTTGAATCATGATAGAAGGGGGGTAAGTAGTAATACAAAATTTGAAGAATACTTTACTAAGAATCTACTAATCTCAACCATTAGCTCTACATTCACATTGTCTTGTCTTGTTCTATTGTATTCTATTTAACCTGGTTCACCAATGCCCCCCCCGGATTCGGCGTAACTGGCCATCCCGCAGAAGCAAACCCCCGGTCGCTCTGCCACACTCAGTCGACCTTCCAATTTATTCTCGAACATAGGTCCCTCGTACCTATCCAAGACATCATAACTTCATACTGTAATCATTTCATTCATTCTTCTGCTGACTATTCCCATCACCAAATTCCCAGCTCTCCCAGCCAATGATAAGCCGATAAGCGTCATTCGGCCCAGTCCGACGGCCGATAGCAACCGCTCCGAGCATCGCAGCATCGTCCCATCCTCTCCTCCTCCGCGACTACCCCATCAGCAAACCCCCTCCATGATCTCGACAACTCTGGCCAACATATTCCCACCAGGCGCTTTGCTCCTGTGAATTTTCTCCTTTCGCAAGTCTCCCTGAACCAACCGGCCACCGCGTGCTGAGCCGTTTTTTGGCGGGCGGGGATGGAGCCCCGCAAAACCCCTCCAGAGTACTTCCTGGAGATCTTCGCCGATACCACCACAGTGCGCGATGTATTAAAAGGTGCGCATTTAATCTGACTTCAACTACCACGGTGTGACTACCGCTTTACTTGTCAGCGACATACTAATATAATACTCCCCCATAGGCGTCCTGAATCTCATCTTCTTCCACCGCTACTTCCCCTCCATCCGGCCGGTCACCTTTGACGTCTTGGACCTGACACTACCCGCCATCAATGACGCAGACCTAGAGACTCTGATTGAGTCGCGCGTGAATGCGCTAGTCCGCCAGCACCTGTCCCCGGCGGCCGGTGACCAAGATGGTACAGTCGGTGGGGGTGGCGGGGGAGTGCGCGGACGCATCGCAGTCGAGTTCTACGAGAAGAAGCGACGTCGCTCGGGGATGTGGTTTGGCGGGCTGGCTGGGAAGGGGGAAGAGGAGGTTTGTTGGGAGATGTGGACGATAGATGTGACCATTGCCACACCCCGCACTGAATCTGGTACGTTACTTGGCATGATATATTGCTTGTTGGAGGGAGTTCCCTGAGACGACTCTTGTGCCTGGCAAAGGTACATTTCTACATTGATCATTGCTGACGTATCCTCAACAGAACGAGCCAAGGTCCGCAAGGCTATGGGGAACATGCTTCAGAAAGCGGCGTTGAAGATTCTGACAGTAGTCAATCGGGACAAAGACCATATCCCGCCAATCACGACCAGTGACTCGAATCCTTTCCCCTATCGCATTGTTGTCAATCCTCGCACGGATGGCTGGGGCAATCGCATGGGCCTGTATTAAGCCAGCCGTGACTCACTCCCTGGTTCTATGAGGGTGGATTTGACTCATATCCTGCTCGGTTGTGGGATACACGAATTTCTTAGGTGCTTTTGATGTCTTTTAGATCGTGACGGGAGTTTTGGGCGTTCTGCTTAATGTCCGCAAGGAAGGTCTGGGCTGGCGTTCTGTAACTTGTGTGCCGCTGTGTCGGCGGCCGATATTTTGATCATGTCATTGAAGGAGAAACAGCTGCTGGCTGAGACTGAACTCGGCCAGTACAGAAAATACACCGTATCACCGCTTGTTTCTTATCAATTTTCTACGTTGTAAAGGATCCATCTGCGAGGTCGATACGTAGCAAAATTGCCATATGGTATGAAACAATCACAAAGCCGAATACGAATCCCGCCACCCACTAGGTGAATGATGAAACACGACACAGAATGAAACCAACCACATCTCTACGATCCCAGGTATGGAACACGATACATCACATAAAAACTCAAGCAACCTTGTCCTCCGAGAAACAGCTCAACCCCGGACTCGACCCACTGTCCTCCTTCCTCATCACCCTCTATCGTCGTCGCACTGCCAAAAGGCATTCATAGACACTCAAAATGTCAAAAAACGTCACAAAAACGCTCAAGCTCTTCGCTAACGGTACTCGCGCGAGAACGGAGAATCGATGGGACCAGTGACCTGCCTCTTTGCTGGCGACGGTCACGAAGGCCACTGCAACTGATCGGGACGATTCTCAGTTACAACTCATTCTGCGGAAGCCGTTCAGGAGGAGTGTGCCTTGGCAGCCTCGGCCTGGGCACGGAGGTTGGCGGAGGTACCGCTCTGGCTGAAGAAGCGGCCGACCAGAGGCTGGAGGAAAGAGTGGAAGACGACTTGGGCACCGCTAGTTTGGGTCAGTCATTTGCTTCATGATAAGGTATTGGGGGGGTTGTCTTACCTGGTCTGCGGGAGAGCCATCCAGAGGATCAGGACGAACTTGAAGATGTAGTAGAAGGCTGGGACCTCATGTTAGCGAGTACTCTGGTGCGAAACAAGCTCATTTCCACATACGGAACCAGTAAGCGGCGTTGATAGCGCTCTCAACAACAGTCAGGAAGGCAAAGACAACCCAGTACTATCGAGGCGTTAGTTAGTCAAATGGGTTCTAGACGCATGAAGCTATCACGTGGCAGCTGATAAGCCCGCTTCCGCGTGTCTTGTGCCGCAAACGCCAGATGATGCTGGCTGGGAATACAGGTCATGGGAACTTACAGTAAGCCACTAGAATCGGTCAACAGTTAGCATTGATTCTCATGAGAATCAGGGACATGCGACCGAGGGCATTGAGACTTACCTGAGTGTCATCCGCAGTACCCGACGTGAAGAGGGCCTGGAGGGAGTAGTAACCGGGAAGGAGGAAACCGGCAAAGTTGACGAGGAACTCGCCAGCGATGTTGAAGAAGACAAGGAAAAAGTAGACTCCAACCAGGCCGAGGATCACATAGACCTTGGGGACGTTGGTCTGACGCTCAAAGTTGTTGAGGACAGGGTACTTGGAGAGCTATCGGAGAAAATGTCAGTTAGCAAGCAAAAGCCTTATCGCACAGGTAGGTTGCCGTGAGAGTACGTTTGACGGTTACTGGTAATTGCTGGTGCCCTCGGCAGCTCATGCTGGGTGGGTTTGCACGCAATGCAGCGCACAAATGGGCCGAGGGCTCGAGCTAAGAGGCACCAGCGAAACCGAAACACACAGACGCACAATCACAGCAGGAACAAACGCACCTCCTTGTCGAGCTGGGCAACAGCGTGCTGGGCACGATCCTGGAAAGAGGCCATTTTGTAGGAGATAGGCGATTGAAATTTTCACGATATCTTGGAGGTGAAAACGAAGATAGCAATATGAACGAGGGATGATGAGAATGCAACCGGTCGAGCTGGCGGTTGCTGGCCGTGCCCGTGTGGCATCACGTGATGATATGACGTACTCGGCATGCGATCATCTGCGAGGGCCATGTGAATTTGGACTCTTTCGAAGCTTACAGAACATTGTAACTAGGCTTAAGCTGGCTAGAGGTAGGCTGTGAGAGGGTTGTCTGTCTTATCCGTGCTGTTTATCTCGAGTGCATTTCATCGGGAAGTGCAGCGTGTCACCAGCCTAAAAAAATGTTCCGATTTATTTGACATGGTGGTAGTCATTCCAGACCTACTTGCCTGCAACAAACGAAACGTTCCTCAATACTTATATCCCCGGGTACCCACTTACCACATGATCGTTTACCCTAGTACCATTATGCGATCTATCCAGTGTGACGATATAGCTGCGGAGTACCCCAGGCAGGACCCGGAAGAGATCTAAGCTTGCCGACTGCGTCCCGCACAACCGCCATACATGACGTACAGGGCTGTTCTAGGCCACGAGACGGAACAGACCAAGCCGATCCTCGACTGCTACATTAACGGTCTCATTGTCTTTTCAATACGGGTATCATTGTGTCTGCTACGTTGCCGTTGATTGACCAGGTGGTGTGAGTATTTAATCACACTATTTACGCCATCCAGCCCTTGGGGCTGTTAGCCTTGGACGGATGCTTTCTCCGGCTATTAATGCATTCCATCTTTCTTTCACCATTGGTTGCAATATACTGGGGTGTACGACACGATCGATTGAAGACAAGTGATTTCTACCATGGCAGAGGAAATCATTTCCGATAGTCTAGCACAGTCTGTAGATATTTATACTTCAAATTGATCTTTTCCATTCACACCCGGCATGTAATCACGTGACTTGCACTCCATCCATGCCAGTGTAAATTAACTAACTGCCGACTGCCAATACCATTACACATGTTACAGATGATAACCTTCTTGAGGGTACATCTCTGACCCTGAAGTTCCTTCTGCAATTCTTGGATCTATAGGCTATATTGCTTCGCCTTGGTGCTTGTGAATTCTCCCGGCCCAAGGAACAGGCTAATACCCCCTGTCCGGAAAGGATCCCACATTGGCTACGGACCCCGCGATAGTATAGGCATTACTATCACAACAGACACCGCACACACGACCTGTCGAAATACTTTGTACCAGTCTGCAATGACGAGTATGAAGCAAAGTCAATTGTTCAATCTTGATATGAGATGCAAGTGGGGGGTGTCTGAGATAAAGAGGGCGGAGACGGGAGGAATGATGAAGTGTAGAACGACATTGTGGAGTACATAGCCGAAGCCGAAGGCCTCGACTCACCGCCAGGAACAACGGCAATGATGTGCTTTTGCACAGGAACAGGGGCTCAAGGAACCGATTGGATTGAGGAAATGCCAATGGTGCAGACTCCCGTCGCTCCTCTTATCATCCCCTGAATCTCCTCCTTTACCCCAAGATCCCAAGGAACTAAATGATCCAATTCAATAATACCTCAATTCCACACCGTCTTCGACTACAATTGTACCAAGGGGCCCTAAACTAAAGTTCAAAAAGGTCCCGCACCACACAGTCCAATCCAAACCCACCACCACATCCCAAACTCTCCTCCCCTCTCCCGCGTTTTCTTAGAGTCTTGCCTTGGCCCTCAATCCCTCTCCTCCCTTCTTCTCCATCCTTCCTCCACCACGATATTTCCCCGTCAGTACTTTGCAACCCTCGGGTGGACCTTGAACTCAACATCGAAACGCTGTGATCGCGACGTCCGTGCGTCGAAGGGGCACATCCGCTAGACGACCGATGTAAACGGTCCGGCCCTTATTTCTCCTTGCTCTTTCTTATCGGTCCCCAAAAGGGAGCTGGACGACCCTGCAGCCATTGAGGGGTACAAACGCCCGCGGTACACGGTGCGGACGGAATATCCAACTCGAGAGTCTGGCCTGATTGAATTCCCGGAACGAACCATCTCGAAAGCTCGGCAGTCGACCGCGTCAGGCCACGAATCGCTCTCCACCAAAACTCCACGCTTGCTACGATCTGGCTCCGCTACCATTGACCACCCGTTCGCGTCTCGTCGATCACACCATTTCCCCCCCTCCCTGTCAGCGTGAATATACTTGGAAGACGGTGGATATTTCTCAATGCGGCCCCAGTAAGTCGTGCATTGTCAGGCTCGGGCTATCGTGGCCCTTTTGGGTCAATGCCGGCTAAGGTCCTAATTGATTGTGTCATGCAGACGGGAGTATCATATTGTTGTGCTGGGAGCAGGTGGTGTAGGGAAGAGCTGCCTGACTGGTAAACAGCCCCTGCATGTCCTCCCTGTTGACTATTGCGCTGTCGCGCTGTTGCGGAGAAGCTCCGTCATACCCTTCAGAGTCAATCACTGACCAATTCCCAGCCCAGTTCGTTCAGAATGTCTGGATTGAAAGCTACGATCCAACGATTGAGGACTCCTATCGCAAACAGATCGAAGTAGATGTGAGTCTCTGACACGCTTGTGGATAATTGATCAACTACTAAAACCAAACAACAGGGCCGACAATGTATACTCGAGATGTAGGTTTCTACACAACAAAGCACAACAATGGTGCAGGGATACGAGGTGGCTGACACTATGACATGCAGTCTTGACACCGCTGGAACGGAACAATTCAGTAAGTACCACCGATCATCATACTTGCTTCTTTGGCTAACAAGGATTCCGCAGCGGCTATGAGGTAAATCCACACCGCGCCCCGAGACACAAACCACGCGTCCATTAACCCGCTCCCTTTCCCACCATTCAGAGAACTATACATGAAGCAAGGCCAAGGCTTCCTCCTCGTCTTCTCCATCACAAGCATGTCCTCCTTAAACGAGCTCTCCGAACTCCGCGAACAAATCATCCGCATCAAAGACGACGAGAAAGTCCCCCTCGTGATCGTCGGCAACAAATCCGACCTCGAAGAAGACCGTGCCGTACCTCGCGCCCGCGCCTTCGGCCTCTCCCAGAATTGGGGCAACGCCCCGTACTACGAGACTTCTGCCCGACGCCGCGCTAATGTAAACGAAGTCTTTGTCGATCTGTGTCGCCAGATCATCCGTAAGGACCTGCAAGGGCCGAGCGGGACCAACGATAACTTTCGCAAGCGCGAGGGCCCAAGCAGGCAGGACCGGAAGATTAAGCAGGGCCGTCGGCGGTCTCCATGTGTCATCCTTTGAAAGGATGAACACAAAACTCTTTACTTTATGATCTTGGTCCTCGATTCTCCATTCTCGAACTCCCATCTATCTATCGATCCGAGTTATGCTAAGTCACGCCTGTCTCCGCCTCGACCCAATTCTTTGACATGTCTCATGATATCTTCTCTACGCTTTTTCATGCATTCTACAACTACACCTCTTGATAGAAAGACGCGTCGCCGCCTGTCATCATCATTTATTTATTATACCACCTCTTCTCCATTCTGAAACCCCCTTTTCCATTCTCCATTTCTATTTTACCTTCTTCATCCCTTCCCCTCTTCATTCTATTTTTGACATATGGAATGCAGCATTTCCATCATTGTCTCTTCTTCCTTTTTACTTCTCACATAAGTTTTTAGCTCCTGCCGAGCCACCAAAAAAGTTGATGTTGACGATATAAAAGTTGTGATCGAACACAAAACCTTCTGCTTTCCCTTCTTCTTTGCATTTTTACTTTCTATTTTGAAGTTATGAAATTCTTTTTTTTTCTCTTTGCAGCCCTTGATGGGTCAAAACCAAATAACATGCTTGATTGAAATACATTTTCTTAACCTCATTTCTATGATTATCTCTGTTTCTTTCACACACAGCCCCATCTACATCCGGAACACTCCGAATCGGGTTTGTATATCGGGCTCCTCCTTTCCGCCAAGAGCGGCTGCCAATCCCAGACCCAGCATCTTTCTCGTTTGCGCCGGGGGAATCACACCGTCGTCCCAAAGGCGGGCGGATGAGAAGATTGCTTCGGATTCGTGGTCGATCCGAGCCTTTAGGGCGGGATCGGCGGTTTTTCCAACGGCCTCCATGACGGAGGAAAGTTGCTCGGAGCCCATGACGCCAATCTTGGAATTGGGCCACATGAACATCAAGCGGGGGGAGTAGGCACGGCCACTAGATATCATATTGTCAGAGATTGCCCACAACGTCCCAGAAGGTCATGACACCATAGAGAAAGGACTTACCACATGCCGTAGTTACCAGCACCAGCACTTGAACCAAACACGACAGTGAACTTGGGCACATCGGCACAAGCAACGGCTGTCACCAACTTGGCACCATTCTTTGCAATACCGCCCTTCTCGGCATCGGCACCAACCATAAAGCCCGAGATATTCTGTAAAAACACCAGAGGAATGCGGCGCTGAGCACACAGCTCAATGAAATGAGCACCCTTGAGCGAGGACTCAGAGAACAAGATACCATTGTTAGCCACGATACCGACTCTGTGGCCGTGGATCTTGGCGAATCCAGTGACTAGGGTGGTACCGTAGTCGCGCTTGAACTCGGCGAACTCACTGCCATCCACGATGCGCGCGATGACTTCGTGCGCGGGGATTTGGCGGCGGAGGTTCGTGCCGACGATGCCGTTTAGTTCAGCAGGGTCGTAGAGTGGTTCTTTGACAACAACGTCCTCGAGCTGTTGCGGAAGTTTCGTAGAAGGGTAGTTCAAGTTAGCCACTGAGCGACGCGCGAGCACGAGGGCATGTGCGTCGTCGACTGCCAGGTAATCAGTCACACCAGAGATGGTGGAATGCAATTGACCACCACCCAAATCCTCAGCAGAAACCACTTCACCCGTAGCAGCCTTGACCAGTGGCGGACCCGCCAGGAAGATAGTACCCTGGTTCTCGACGATAATAGTCTCGTCGCTCATCGCCGGCACGTAAGCACCACCAGCAGTGCAGGGCCCCATGACAACCGACAACTGCGGAATACCAAGCGAGCTCATCCGGGCCTGGTTGAAGAAGATACGACCGAAGTGGTCACGATCAGGGAACACATCAGCCTGGTGGGGGAGGTTGGCACCACCCGAATCAACGAGATAGATACACGGCAACCGATTCTCCTGGGCAATAGCCTGAGCGCGGAGATGCTTCTTCACCGTAATCGGGTAATACGTGCCACCCTTGACGGTACTATCATTCGCGACAATCATGCAATTCACACCCTCCACAGTCCCAATGCCCGTAATGATACCGCCAGCAGGAACATCCTCTCCCTCGTACACCTCGTGTCCCGCAAGCGGGGAGAGTTCCAGGAAGGAGGTGCCCGGGTCAATCAGCGCCGAGACACGATCGCGAGGCAACATCTTGCCGCGGGCAACGTGCTTATCGCGGGCCTTTTGTGATCCGCCTTGTGCGATTTTAGCATGGAGATTGCTCATGCGGTCAAGGAGTTCTTGCATTTGCTGGCTGTTTTCCCGGTACTCGGGTGAGGAGGTGTCCACCGCTGTGGGGAGGACGGAGAGTGCGGATGCATGGTGGGGATGGGTGTAGCTGGCAACTGTGCGTGAGGATATACGGAAGAATGATTTGGGGAGTTGGTAGTTTGCTGGGCGATAGTTGGATAGTCCAGCGCGCGAGCCCAAGCTCCGGAGGACGAGCGGGGATGGGGCGCGCATTGCGGGGGAGATGGGAGTTGAGGGGACCGACAGTTGTTGGAGAGTGGTTATGTGGTGTTCGACTAGAGAATCAGAATGGACAAGACAAGAATCATGTTCTGGTCGAAGAATGGTATTTGAATCGAGGGTTGCGGTTAGCAAGTGAGCAAGTGACGAGGGACTCCAACTTCCCCAGATTGTGCGGAGGTGCGCGGATTGCCGCGTGTACCCGAGATGTGTATCACCGCCTCCCGCGCAGACACGGGGGATTCAACAAAGAGACTGTAGAATAGAGGCGAGAGAAAGGATCGGATTGAGATTTATCATAGATCAATGTATGATTTGCGATTTTGTAGATTTAATAAACAATTAATAAAATTCAATGCGCGTAAAGCTATATAGAAGCACCGCAAGTTCTAGTACTTCAGCTGTGTACTGCGGGCGGTCTCTCCGCGCGCCGAGGGATGCCGCTCTCCTTCTGTCTCTCTGTCTTTCCTCCGCATATTTTAAATACTCTCCGAGGCCGCCACTTTTAACTTGACAATACCCTTTTTTTTCCCCTAGCAACAAATTCTCGCCAGCTGTAGCGACCTTCTACAATGGCCTCCATCACCCTCCCTTCCCTCCTCCGCACATCTGCGCGCTCATTGCGGCGGAGCGCCAATCTCCCCGCATTCGCCCCAGCTTTTGCGCGCAACCTATCAACGAAGCACCCAGCGGGTTTTGAGCCCCCAACCGAAGAGGATTTGCTAGAGCTGCGCGAGCGAGTTCAGGAATTTACTCGTATGGGCATTTATGCTTCTTCTTCATTGAATCTATGCTGACCCCTAGAATAGGGCGAGAGATTTCGGCCGAGGTTGCCGCACGGACGGATGAATTGAACGAGTTTCCTGCAGACATGTGGAAGAAGTTGGGTGATGCCGGGTATGCGTTCTTTTTTTGAAAATTTTACTCAAAGATCAATTCTGCAGATCACTAATGAGTATTTGTGGTACAGTTTCCTTGGAATTACCGCCAACGAGGAGTATGGTGGTTTGGGAATGGGCTATCAGGCCCACTGCGTGGTGATGGAAGAAATCAGTCGTGCATCTGGTAAGAGCCATTCAATCCTGTCTTCATGTCGCTTTAAGGCTTCGAATCTAATCCGAAATCCTCTGTATAGGAAGTATCGGTCTGTCCTATGCCGCTCACTCCCAACTCTGTGTCAATCAACTTTCTTTGAATGGCTCCGCCGAACAAAAGGAACGATTCTTGCCGGGCCTGCTTTCCGGTGATAAAATCGGTGCTCTCGCCATGTCTGAGCATTCGGCGGGCTCTGATGTTGTCAGCATGAAAACCACCGCAAAGGAGGTCGATGGTGGCTGGGTACTCAACGGAACAAAGATGTGGATCACCAACGTGAGTCAAATGGCGTCGTTACTTTGGCCTCCGCCTTCACATTCTGATATATTATTCCTCTAGGGTCCCGATGCAGACTTTATTGTCGTCTATGCCAAGACTGAGCCCGAGAAGGGTTCCAAGGGCATCTCGGCTTTCGTCGTAGAGAAGACTTTCAAGGGCTTCTCATGTGCTCGGAAGCTGGACAAACTCGGCATGCGCGGCTCTAACACCGGCGAGCTCGTTTTTGAGGATGTCTTTGTCCCGCGTGAGAACCTACTAGGTGAACTGAACAAGGGTGTCAAAGTCCTCATGGAAGGCCTGGATCTGGAGCGACTCGTTCTGAGCGCAGGACCTCTTGGGTATGCTGTACCCCATGTCCCCTGTATGATCCTCTCATGACTAACCTCCTTCTCAGCATTATGCAAGCCTGCCTCGACCTAGTCCTTCCATACAGCCACATCCGAAAGCAATTCGGCACCCCGATTGCCCACAACCAATTGATCCAGGGTAAATTGGCCGACATGTACACAAAGCTAGCAGCCTCGCGGGCATACACTTACGCCACCGCCCGGGAAGTTGATAATGGCGCCGCTTCTCCTAATCCACTGGTCATTCGCACTCAGGACTGCGCTGGCGCGATCCTGTATGCTGCTGAGCGTGCTACTGAGTGCTCATTAGATGCTATCCAGCTCATGGGTGGAAATGGGTATATCAATGAGATTCCGGCTGGGCGATTGCTTCGCGACGCGAAGTTGTATGAGATTGGAGCTGGTACGAGTGAGATTCGCCGGATGGTTATTGGTCGTGCGTTCAATAAGGAGTATGCTTAGGCTTGGGATGCTGGGTTATTATAAATGCATAGAATGTACTTTGTTCAGGCTCAATTTGTGTTTTATTCCTTGCTTGTAGGCTCCTAAGTCTATTTCATACGGCCCTTGGTCATTCCATATCCTAGACTGGAGTCGCGATAGTGGAGGAGGTCATGTTCTCAATTGACGGGTATCGAGATAAGTCTCCGTCGAAATCGGACAGGAGTCAAAGGCCTCAATACTGAAGCTCTTCGGGATGAACACACACACGCATTATTCACAAGGGTTGAAGCGTATATTTGGCCGATTGATTTCTCAGTCACCCATTATTACACGTAACGGGTATTCGATCGCCCCAGCTCTGGTTCTGGCCGCATCTTCTCAACCTCACTCCCTGGCAATTCATGATAAACCGGATTAACCTGTGTACCATGACCATCCAACTCCATACCCCGCTCATCAACACTTTGCTCATGGGTTTGACCACTCCCACTACTATGCCCATTATTACTCTCGCTAACACCACTAAATATCGCATCCGCAGACCAAAATGGTGGGTATGGGGCAGATTGATCACTCGGGTCAGGAGGAGGGGCGTTATGTACCGGGCCGGAGAGTACAGAGACATCTGGTTCTGGGGAAGTCGCTCTGTATGCCGTCTTTTGACATTGACGGCGGATGAAGAAGATGAGGACTGCTGCGAGGATGCCCACGCCAACTAGTGCTGCAATGGCGATGCCAGCTACGGCGCCGTGGCTGAGGGATGAAGAGTCATCTGAACTGCTTGTTCCGGAAGAAGAGGTCGGCTTGTAGTCTTTGGAAGTTATCGTGGTGATGTCTTGTTCGGCGTTTTCGTGCCATGCACAGGCTGATACATTGAAGGTACCGCGCTCGTAATCGACCGAGAGATATCTGTACAGGTCAGCAGTGGTATAAACTCGTATTGGAAGTATTTCACTCACGCCTCTTGCAAAAATACTCGCCCCAAGGTATACTGGGTCGAATTGGCCGCACGCTTCAACGGGAAATAGTAGCTACTATCATTGACCAAGGGAGCCTTCGCCGTCAGAGCGAAAGCATTATACGGAAGAGTGATTGTCACGGCATCTCCGCCAGAAGCCACATCGGACAATCGAAACGACACTTGCGCATTTGAATTGAGCAAATCCGTGTTATGAGTGTCGTTCACCAAATACAAATCACTCTCACTGTCGAGTGTAAGTCCAAAGGCCTTCTCGAATTCGGTGCAGACACTTCCGGGCAGCCATAGATTCGGATCAGTTGAATCGATGAATATCAGGATCGGGTCGGATAATAATGTGGCTGACGTTGATCCGCTATAGCTGATTGACTGGAGATAAATTACCAGATCACGAGTGATGTCTTCGGCCATGGTGAATGACACTGAGTTTTCAACAAATCGGGAAGTGTCATAGCCGGAGAATATTAGTTGACCGTAGACCTGTTTTAAGCCTGCGTTGGCAACGCTTTTGTTAAAACTAAATTCGGTATAAATACGTTATATTATGGGTTCTACTCACGGTACTTGGCACCAGCCGTGTAGCTCCAGCTAAGACTTGGAATAGTTCCCTCATCCTTTAGCGTCGTGAGGAATGAGGGCGAAGAGAAATTCCCTAACGAGGTAAAATTGACAGGTTGAGGATTCAACCCAAATACCCCACTGTATACTTGGGTCAGCTAACCATGGAACCAAAACGGGAATTGAGGCTGAAATTTACAGATAAAAGGGTTCGGGGGTTGCAATTCCCGCAACAGTCTGATTCTTCAGCGTCGGACCGGTCAAGCCAATACTCAGAGTATCTAGAGCAAAGTCTGCTCTTTGATCATACCCGAGGTTGGCTTCGAGGCCCGCTCCATTCTGGTTTATAGTGAAAAGACCCAATTCATGCCAACTAGCAGATTGGTTTGCATTGAATAGCGTGCCCCTGGAGACTGCGCAGTCTGATGGCGCATTGGCAAACACTGAAGTGGAGCAGCCGTAGTCTGACAAGACAACCATTGACTCTGGGGAAGCAGTCGAGATAAGCACTCGAACGGATTGTGGTGGTGTTCCAACTCGGAGATAGAAGCTGCTCCAAGGTCCATCATTTCCCTCACTAGATCAAACAATTATTAGATGGTGTATGAAAGAATCAAAACTCGGTGGGAATATACAAATATTCGCTCGGCGAGATCACCAGAGCAGTTGGGGACCATCTATCCAGACCAGTGGCCGAACATAGCAGCACCCAACAGATCGATAAAATCAATTTTAACAGCATTTCAGCTATATGCATCCTCAAAGAGAGGGGAGATTACTTCGAAAAACTTTGCAGTCAACCATGACACAGCAACAACAGAAGTACAAATGCCCATGTGGCTAATGTGGCGACAGGAACATGCAAGATCAACAGGCCCAGTCCAGGCCATTAAGTTCAAACTGCCACCTCACTGCCGAACCCACTCTCCTCCGAGCCAATTGATTTTTGGAGATCGTCGTTTATCAATTGGAGCTTGTGGACAACTGACGACCCTAACACGTTGAGAGTCTCGCACGGACGGCGTCTCAAAACCGGCTGAGGGTCGGCCAAAACCTGCTCCGCCCTTAAGATCAGGAACCAACGTCAACGTCCTTGTTTATACTCTTCTTCTGATATGTGATGTAGAACTTAACGGTCGGACCTTCTTAGCATCATCGCTCTTCCTACTGTAGCTAGTAGATTGCATGTCCTTGCCTTTCAAAGTTAAAAGTCCGTTCGTGTTCAAAGTTAAAAGTCCGTTCGTGTTGGCGATAATGACCGCATCAAAAAGGAAGCAGTTCATCCATATGACGAGTTTCCAATTGCCTGTCTTATATGATCCTTGTTTACGCCACATCTGCCCCTGGTTATTTTTGTTGTATCAGCCTGATAGGCAATTTTCCCTGCTCCCCATTGTACACTGCTCAATTGCAACAGCTACATCGTCGATTCCCAATTTTCGAGTACCTGGCTGTGTTGAATCCCTTCACTATGCTGTCAACATTGCAATTATGGACAGCCCTTGGGCTGCTAATAACCTGGGTAGAGGCTTCTCAAGACCATGGTATGCAATTGAGCCAGATCTGAACTTCTTCGGGCGCGGCTAACAGATTGAAGCTATTCACAATGCACACTCCCCAGTCCATGATCCAGCCAAAAGCAGTTCGGCTCCTTGTACATCTGAGCAGATGGATCCCTCTTCAATCTATTACAGTGATACCACAATCGAAAGCACAACTACAGTTCACGTACCACCGCCGACGAATACCTCGACAACTATCACGACTGTATGCTTTAACGAAACAGTGACCTCGACCATCTTCCTGTCGATCATCTCGACAGATTGGTCAACTACTACATGCACCGAGACTGAGACTGAGACTGAGACTTCAACGACTACGGACACCACTACAGATACTATTGTTCTCACAAAGACGGACACAACCACTGATACGACTACGATTACGGTGCCAACGACCATCACAGAAGCCCCGAATCCATGTCCGACTACATGCAGCATGTAAGTCTGCCTTGCGAGAAATGTAAATTCATCAATATAACTTACTGACTGTACATCAAAGGTCCGCTGGGACTGTGAACTTGTTCTACTGGCCAACGAACCAGCCTCAGCACATCTACCCATCCACTTATGTCAATTCGCATCTGAACTACACATTGTAAGACCTCTCCCTTCGAATTGACTTCTTCATCAATCTAATTAACATTGTCACACAGTACCTCGCCATCGGTTTATATGGTCGTCGACACCCTCTATGGATACAACACTGCAGGTCGCGCTGGACCATCCGGTACCAGCGTAGTATTCCCCTTGGACCTGGATCAAGTCTCGACCATCGATCTCACCAACTCAGCTACCCGCCAGCTCACACTAAACGATCTCGGTACAGATTGCCCTCAGACGGAGGCTCCCTCGGCGATTGCAACAGCGAAACCTAATGGCCGCTGCGACCCTATCCTCGTAGCCCCCGAGCCCGTCAAGTCTTGGGCTTCGCCTTGCAATGCATGTGGTAATTTCGGCCTGTTTGATCCTCCCTACGCCGTCTCCCCGCTTACTGGTGGCCTGGTGCCGGTGACGACGACTGTTGCAATGACACAGCCAGAGACGCAGACTACTCCTAGTGCGATATCGGTTGATACCACCGCTACACCTGTGGAAACGAGTACAATGGCAGTTTCTACAGAGGCTACCTCTTCTCAGGTTGAGAGCTCTTCCTCGAGTGTGATGTCGAGCCCAGTCTCTTCTAGCTCTGTTCCGGTTACTACCGGATCGGCTTCTTCCAGCTCCGTTTCCAGTCCGGCTACCACTACTGCGACATTCAATCCTGCATCAAAATTGTCAGGGCCTGGTGGATTGCTGGGTTTGAGTTTGATGGCAGTGGCATGCTTAATGTAAAAGAGACCTTCATGAGAACTGAGAGGTCATATTTACTGACATCTATCAACTATTTTTGAAGGCTGCTTGCTTGATTTTGAAATTGATCTCAACTCGACTGGAATTTCATCGCTAATGTGAAGGAGCCCGATGAAATAGGGAAATATTGGTACATAAACGAATGATGAAAGTCTCAATAGTATCACGTTTGAACATGATTGTGTCTTATAAATCAAGGTTGTCACAATCAACTTGCCCTTTCACCAAGTAGGTTACCGTCTTTAACCGTAGATACATGTCCATGTATTTCACCAACGGGCACTCGTATCTACCTGACTCGAGCGGAAATATAACAACAGTGTGCCAGAGAGTGGGTGTATTCATTAATTTGATTCGTTAAATGTCATGACGAAAGCGATTACGGTTTCCTTCAAAGACCGCAAAGTCATGTCCAAATGTCCATCAAACTCACTTCAACTGCCTCGCAGATCGCCGTACTGGGCCAGACGAGGCATCCGATCTTGCCGAAGCCACGCGTTTCGTCCGAGCCCGTGTTTCCTCACCGCCAGGATTGTCCTTATTTGGCTCTTCGGGGGGAACCTCGGCCTTTCGCTTGCGGCCTCTTTTCGCGGGCGCCGAATCCACCGGCACCGGCACCTCCTGAGGAGACTGACCCAGCTCCGGCGTAGTATTCGAGGCATCTCCAGCATCGTCCTTCTCCGCCATGTTGTCGGTCGAGAGGATATCGGACATTTCGTCGGAGCTGTCCTCATCATCGTCGTAGTCGTCGTCGCAGGGGAATTCATCGTCCGCAAATTCTGGTTCCTCCTCCGGCGGCGTATGGGTTGCCGGTCTCTTGCGTAGGCGCGACTTATCCAGCGCAGGCTGAGCCGACTTGAAGATCTCACGCCAGTTCTCCAAAAACGCAACCTTCGCCCCATTTCCAGGTTCGTAGATTTGCACTCCAAGGTCTAGGCCATCCCCCATACTTGGTGTGCGCCAAATGACTCCTTGGAATGAAGTGATATCTGGCTTGAGGCAAGATCGCGGGCGGGAGACTCGGTTCGTTTGCGTGTTAGGTTGTGTTCGGCGTGTCTTCGGGGCAGCGGCGTCCCGTCCTGCGGCGATTGGATTTTGCTTCACGGTGGGGTCATCATCGTGATAATCATCTGAATAGTATTCCCAGTCACTGAGATAGTCGTTCACGTCCATCTTCGGGTCCTCGTAAAGAGGCGCTTCGTAGTTTGAGGATGCGGCGAGTTCGTCCTGCAAATACAAACCCTCTTGTTAGCATATCTCTTTCGGCCGATATCGTAACCTCTGCACATATGATATGTACTTACCACCAGGTCTGGCACGAGGTCCTCGAAGAGGTACTCCTCCTCCCATTCGTAGTAGTCGTCGTCGTCGGACATGTTTCAATCGCTCAGGGCAGGCGGGATAAAGAGCGACCGGGATAGGGAAAGAAGAAGGAAAATGGGATCAAAGTTATTGTAGAAATGTTGAATGGATCATGGGTATGTACGAGATGCCAAAATTATGCAAAAAGCGAAGTGAAGGCGTAGAGGTGAAGTTGTCACAAATATGATGAAGATCCGGCTGATCTTTTGCATGAAAGAGGAGCCTTGCTAATGTAAGCTCTTGGCATTTTTCACTCCCTCCGGCTCCGCTTTTTTCCTCTTATGGTACTCCGCTCTACCGATTTTAACGTCTTACTTGCCTGTTTAATCTTTTATTCGGTTTTCTTTCAACGATGTGGTATGGGACTCTCTAGCGACCAATCTATGAGCGGAAAGAGTGGCATCGCTCTATACAATACAGCAGTAACAGAGCCCAGTAATTGCAACGTTCCTGAATCTTTAGGGGCTTTCATTTTCCAGTTCTGATATAGCCCTGGTGTACATCAACGGTTATTGCATCCTCAAGAGCATGCCTGGTTGAGCTCCTCGTGTAGCAGAACGAGCGAGTGCCGCCCTTCTTGTTATGTCTAACCTTCGGATCTGACGTGTCTCAGTCAATCTATCAATGCTCCCAAGCCTAATCGGGCGGCATCAAGATCACAAGTTAGGAATCGGAGCAGCAAAAATGGTGTCGGCAATCTATGATGCTCCTCCGACCGTTGTTCGCATCACAATAAGCCCCTATATTCAGACTTAGACCTGGCAGGACCTCTTCCTCCAATAGTTAACAGCATTTCCTGCTACAAGCTCCATATTCTTTGGTTTATGACACGAACCAGCATCTCCGTCAACAAAGACACTATGGGGGTCGCTTACGAGGTGTCAGAAAATGAATTGCCCTCGCCGGCTATCTCAAAGCGAGCCTGGTATCCCTGGGTTGTGGACCCCGTTGCAACAGAACACGTCTGCGCAGATACGACGAACCTGATAGAGTACAAAGAGTACCCAGCTTGGGAGAGAAATTACCACGGTTTTTCTACGGCAGAAGGCTTCTACTACGCAGTGGGTTGTGGACGAGTATCGCATTACAATAGCACAACGGTCTTGATATCCTTTACTATTATTATCCTTTGGGCCATAACGTGTTCTCGCTATGGCGGGCTTCAGAAGGCTTCGACATCGGGTTGGACCAATCCAAAGGAACTTTGTACGACCGGTTTCAGCCAGGACACATTCTTGGGATTTACTGATTGTGTTGGAGACCGTTCGGAGATCCGACTCGAACAAACACCTCCAGTTAAACTCATTAACGAGGCCAGGACAATCTCACCTGAGCCCAATATTGCGTTCTTGATGTTATGCGTTCTTGATGTTATGCGTTCTTGATGTTATGCGTTCTTGATGTTATGCGTGCTTTTGTTTCTCCATTATTTCCACTTGGCCTAATTCCTGCAGCCGGTCATTCGAACATGAGCCTCCTCTATTGCAGATGTGATAGTCGGCTGGATTCATGCCTCATTATAGCTACCATCAGGTTGTAGTGAATGGATGTCTCAATGACAAAAGGTTCATTTATATTGACTGCAGGCTTGGGTTGAACTTTGCTTCTTATCTGGGATAGCTAGTGAAATGTGCTCATCAAGACCCTTCTTGAATAAGGCAGCTGAGAAAATGTGCTCTATTTATAACTTTGGATAGATATTATTGAATTCCTCCCTTCGACATTCGAACTCGAGTACGTTGATAAGGACATTGCTGTCAAAGTAATTCTGCCTTCTTTTGCAAGCTTAAGAACTGTTTCCTGTCATTTAATACCTGCAAAACAACAAGTATATATTCATATGTATGGCTATAAGATAAATTCTTTCCAGTACTAGTCCAGCTACGTCTACATATTCACCCAGAAACTCATCTACAAATTTAGTATTACCTTAGATATGATGTCAGTATTGACTGGGCCCGTGAGCAGATGCGATAGAGATTTTCACCACGGCCTACAAGCATTTGAATCATTAATTATGGGCTATTTTGTCAATTATATCCTAAGATCTCGCTTAATACTTGATGGTTGCCGAGCCTCAAATTTCGGCCCCAGATTGTCGCCGCCTCGGGCAATTGTTGGCACAGGCCTCGCCAAGCTGACGAGATGCCGGGGCGTAGAAAGTAGCGTCTTAGTATTCTTGGTAGTCTTCCACATTAGAGGCTTTAACTGGCCAGGTTCCTGAGGTCTGTTGCTAGTTAAATTTCTCTTTCAGCCCCAAGTGGGCGAGTCCGGTATTAGCACAACATTGAGCGCAAGGCGCCCACCCACTGTTACCGTAGGATGCCGACAACCCGGCTTGAATTATTGGACTCATTTAATTACATTTAGAGAGCCTCGTCGCCCCTTTCGCTGATCTTGCTCCTTGCAACCCATACTCACGCAGACGATGGCGGAGAACGACAGCGCGATCCATTTGCGATCGCTTTCACAGCCTTCACTGGTGTCAGCTCCAGACTCCAGTACGCAAGACGAGACACCGAGGCATTCTTCTCGTCATCTGCCCGATGATTCGACCCCAGAGCATGGCCAACATGAAGAGCTTCCAGCATACTCGCGGGCTCCCCCTACAAATCAGTCATTGGGACTCGGTCACAGCACAACACTCCATCGCTCTGGGCTCATCGCACTCATTACGGTTCTCTTTACAGCCCTGGCGGTTTATGCTTGGGTTATCCTTGCAATTCTCTCCTTTCGCCCTATCAGCACTAGCTCGTGGGAAGAAAATGCGAGCTATGCAAACAGACATTATATCCATCATGACTGGGCCTTCGATACTAGGCTCTATCGCTCGGCTAGAGTGATTCAATCCATTCTCACTGTGATTATCTTGCCATGGACATCGGCTGTATGTGCTCACGCTGCGGTCATATTCATGCAACATCAAAAAGATAGCATGGGTTTGACTATGCGACAAGTCATGGCTCTCGCAGATCGCCGATGGTTGGATTTCTCCTTGTTGTCTGATATACTCCGTGGTGCTTGGAAAAAACACGGAAGCCTACTGTTACTTCTGGCGATAATACTTCACTTTCTTGGAGCCATCATCTACCCGATCCAGGCTATTGTTGTCAATCCTAAGACCATTCATGTTCCGGTTTCCATCAATGAAATGGGCACAGTTGGCGATCTTGCCCATCAGGCTGCTTACTACTCGACTGTCACTGGGAATGACGTTGTGAGGACTCGCGCTGCTCTTCTCAATGCAGACTCGCATACAATGCAACCACAGCTGTGGCAGGGGATTCAAGGTCAACAGCTATCAAACTTCAAGAACTTCTCCACCCTGCGTGATCCATTCTACGCCCCAATACCCAACGGCTTTCACACCGGGGTCCTTCAGCAATTCGCCTTGCGCATCAATTCGTCTGCCACTTCCAGATCCATAGCGGCTGCCGAATTTCCGTCTGGTTGCAACTCAAACTCCTCGGGATTTTTCGCTAATTATTCATCCCTCCTTTTGTATGAATCCATTCCGTATTATTGGGCTATTGCCGCTTGTATGCCTAATGTTACTTCGAAATCGCCGTGGGTGGAAACTCGAGATCGCCAAGAGTTCTCTGAGTCGCTCTATCTCAACATCTCTATCCGGGATTCGAATGTACAAACTACTGCGCTGTCCGCTGGTAGCGCATTATATGAGATCACTCTCCGGACGACTGCAGGTTATTTTGAGCTACCCAACTTCATGAACAATGGCACACCCGGCGCTTTGCTGGAGAGCGACCCGACTCCGAATTGCAACAAAACATGTATACGACAAATCAACCAATATTCATACTACAATCGTGCTCGCCGAGATGAGACTATTGGAAACACAACCAATTACATTCATCAAACTGTTCCATGGGCATCATTGGAGGTTGAAAATAAGGGGCCGCTCTTAACCACAGCACTTGCCCTCTTCGGACCAGGCTCTTTCCTGGACACTTTTTTCGCTTCAATGAAGGTTATCCAAAATAACCTTCCTGACTCCAATCCCGAATACGGCTACGCCAGTAGCAGTAAAGTGTGCATCGAACTCGGGCCTCTGATGAACTTTTTCCACACCGTTTACACGCCACGAGATACATGCATTTCAATCTATATGAATCCAAACTCCAACGTCAACAACGCTCACGACCTGGTCCGAGACTGGCTCGTTTCCATGTATCAATCGGCATCGAGTTTTCCAAATGTTTTTACTACGGCCGCTTTCCTTTCGAACAAGCAATGGGTTGAATCGATGAAGCCTGTGTACGCAATTTACCAAGACCCAGGTACAGAAATGGAGATTCCGGACATCGGCCTGGCTGGTGTGATCGTGGTCAGCATTCTTCTGGGACCATATCTTTTGCTCTTACTTGCCCTCTCTTGGTATGGTAGTCGTGCCCCAAGATGGACTTATCGACTCGACTCGTTTGCTATGCTGCGTTTCGGAGCTGCATTAGGTGAAGGTATCTTCCCCATGCTTATTGCGGAAAGGACAAACGACATCAAAGAACTTGATGAGATCCCTGGTGTTATCAGAGATGTCGGACCAGTTTCAGAGGACGCTATCATTCCAGTCAATCGAATTGGTCTTTGGGGTGGGAAGCCGCTACAGAATCGCCGAAGATATGAGTGTTATGAAGCCGACAACGAAGCTATGACACTGGTCGAGGTCAATGGGATACGGCGGGGTGGTGTTAGTCGAACGTAGGATTATTTACTGAAATACCATAATACGAGACATCGTATTTGTATTTCATTGATGCACCAAGAAGTAAGACGCCGAACTCACGAAGAACCGTTGGCCTTTGCAGATTGGTTCTTCAAGTTTGAAATTCCTTGAAAACTTCGAAATCATATTGTCAGGCACTAATGAACCAACACAAAGAAACAAAACCTGAGCCTTCTGGTAGGACAACCAAGAATTCACTTCTTACTGAGGAAGCTGAAGGAAATCTCTTTAAGCCCTTTGTCAGGTCTCTGCATTCAGACTTCGGACACTCCACTGGAGACTCGATTAAGCTCATTAGGAAAGAGCTTGCGTATTCTCCGCTCTTATGGAGGCCACACATATTCTTCTTCCACTGCTGACCAATTATATGATAATGGGTTGAACGAATAGCCTAAATAAATAGGTGGAGCCGGCCCTGTTTTGTATACGCCCAGTGAGGGTTCCTTGGGCTCTTAACCTATTGTAAAATCATGAATCGGGGGTACAGGGCGCGACTCAAAAGCGCCACGGTTCTCCGTAAAGGTGCTCCCTCGGTTCTATCCTTCCATTAGCCATCCAAAAATTCCGACTGAGCTCCAGGCACAGGCCGGGACATGCCCCGGAGGAAGGAATTAAGGCAGAAGACAGCACCACCCCGGCATCTAAGCTTCCCCGCGTGAGCCGGGGCGGGGCGGTACCTGGAGAAGACCAATGGCCTGGCGATCATCCCTCAACGGGACGCACGTAGACCAAGCGTGATACTACCCTCGCATGTTGTCTACTGGGACAATTCAAAACATGGGATGATTCGAGTGGTCCGGTTAATAGCAAGTATCTCAAGCAATCCGGGGATGGCTTGTTATCCGTCATCTGCACGGATGCACGGCACATGGCGGGTTGCTAAGACTCCCAAATATACAGGTTGTGCCCCTTTTTATTTCTGGAAGAAGTCAAATTCGGTTCAAATTTTGTTCCACCGAAAGTTAGTTCAGGCTTGGAGAATAATCTCTCGTCATGGCTCCTAGCGGTGTTACCCATGAACTGTCTGCCAAGCGTCGGCAGTTCGCTGGCGAGCCTGGCTTCAAAGGACTTGTCAGTAATGGAAGGACGTTTGCGATCGCACTGTTCGCATCCCTGGGTGGTCTGTTGTACGGCTGTGAGTTTCTATTCTTTCGAAGTTTGGCTTTAAATGCGCGGCTTTAGAGTACTAACTTGAAAATAGACAATCAAGGAATGTTCTCGTCAATTCTGACCATGTCCTCTTTCCAGCGGGAGGTAAGTGAATACGGCAGTTGAACATTGACTTCCGCTTGTGGCGTTGCTAATTAAGCCACGTAGATCGAAGGTTATGCCGCCGAAACGGGAACTAAGCAAGCCATCACAACTGCCATTCTCGAGCTTGGAGCATGGGTTGGTACCCTGCTGAATGGATGGCTCGCGGATGCGATCGGTCGTCGTCAGACAACTATTCTTGCAGTCTTTGTCTTTTGCATCGGTGTCATTGTTCAGGCAAACACCCACGCTGTCAGCTATGTTCTTGGCGGTCGATTCGTCACTGGTCTGGGTGTGGGTAGTTTGAGTATGATTGTGCCATTGTATAATGCTGAGCTGGTACGTTGCTTCCAAAATCCTATAATGGCGTTCGAATTATGAACTGACAAATGTCTAGGCTCCCCCCGAAATTCGCGGTTCACTTGTCGCTGTGCAGCAGTTGGCTATCACCTTTGGTATCATGGTCAGCTTCTGGATTGGCTATGGCTGCAACTTCATTGGCGGAACTGGAGAAACACAATCTAAGGCAGCCTGGCTGGTCCCTGTCTGCATTCAGCTGGCGCCAGCTATCATCCTGGGAATCGGTATGGCAGTCTTTATGCCTCAATCTCCCCGTCACCTGATGAACACTGGTCACGAAGAGGAATGCTTGAAGGTTTTGGCCTGGCTGCGGAACAAGTCCACAGATGACATTGTGGTGCGCATTGAGTACCTCGAGGTGAAAGCTATGCACATGTTCGAGAAGGAAACCTCAGCGGCCAAGTACCCGCAGTACCAAGACCCCTCTCGAAAGAGCAACCTTATGATTCTTATCAACGACTAAAAGTCTCTTGTCACCAATCCGTCCCTTTTCAAACGTTCAACTGTTGCTGTAAGTGTCCCAAGAACCTAACTTTTGATGTATACTAACAATTCCGGCCTTCCTTAGTGCTTGATTATGGTCTTCCAGCAGTGGAACGGAATCAATGCCATCAACTATTACGCGTATGTTATCTAATATTTTGTCTCTTGTGAGAATTTACTAATGAAAGTATAGGCCATTTATCTTCAGGGGCATCGGACTGACAGGCAACACTATCGATCTTCTTGCGACCGGTGTTGTAGGTATCATGGAGTTTGTCTTCACGATTCCCGCTGTCCTTTGGGTAGACAAGTTCGGACGAAAGAGCATTCTCATCGCCGGTGCTATCGGCATGGCCTCTTGCCACTTCATCGTCGCCGGTATCATCGGAGCTTTCAAGGATGACTTTGCCACACACAAGTCCGCTGCTTGGGCTGGAGTTGTCTTTGTCTGGATTTACTGCATCAACTTTGGCTACTCCTGGGGTCCGGTGGCTTGGATTGTCGTCTCCGAGGTCTTCCCGCTATCCATGCGTGCCAAGGGTGTTGCGCTTGGTGGCAGTAGCAACTGGGTAAGTTGTTTAACTGCTGCTCTGGTGACGGCGTATGATACTAACCTCGATTAATAGCTGAACAACTTCGCCGTTGGAATGGCAACCTCACCATTCATCTCCAAGACTCAATTTGGCGCCTTTATTTTCTTCGGTGTCATTACCCTTATCGGTGCATTCTGGGTATATTTCTTTGTTCCCGAGACTAAGGGTCGTACTCTGGAGGAGATGGACGAGCTGTTCGGTTCTACCGGTTTGGCCGCTGCCGATGATGAGCGCAAGCGTCGCATTGAGCGAGAAATCGGTCTATTGGCACTCCTTGGAGAAGACGCCTCCGGTGTCGAGGAGTCTAAGACCACATCCGAGGTTGCGATCGACAGTGCTAACAAGCATGTGGAGGCGACGGATCTTCCTACTGAGAAGGCTTAATGCAGAGATCGGGGGAGTGACCTTGAATAGTCAACGGCTTGCTTGTAGTGAGAGGCCATATAGTTTGAAGTCCATGCCGAGTACAGGACCGGATTATATTCGAGTTGAACATATTTGGATTCTAGCTTGAAGTATCACCACAGTTTCATGAAAAATATCCTCTATCCCTGCTTCGAAGCTACAGTTTAGATCAGAGGCCAAGTGACTCTGCATTTTCAGAAAATATCTTCTGAATCTGTGCCTCCTCAAACATCTCCTTCAGCTGAGTATCCATAATGTGGCTCAAACCCTCAACCACTGGCCCAGGGGTATAGGGATAATCACTACCGTAAAGTAAGCGATCTGCCTGTCCCACTCTCAAGTAGCCATGAATGAGATCTGGGAATGGCATGCCAGCCAAGTCAAAGAAAAATCGAGTTCGGAATAATTCTTTCACCCGGTCACCCGTCAACTTCTCACATCCTTGAAGCATTCTAGTGGAGAACGCAGTAAATCTCTCTACTATGGGAGGCAATGTAGCACCGCAGTGAGAAACCAAAAAGGTTAAGTTCTCGAAGCGTGTCACCGTCCCAGAAAGAAGTAGATTGACCACAGCTCGAGTTGTGTCAAAGAAGTACTCCATCATAGGCGTCGGGTACTGAGCCAAAGGCTTATCGGCATCTGGATTATCAAGAGAACAGCATTGAGTCGGGTGCATGAAAATGATCGTCTTGTGATCATTTAACTTTTTGAAGACTTGGTCGAATCGTCTATCGCCCATGTAGTAGCCTTGAGCGTTGGTCATCAGGGCAAATCCCGATGCACCCAGTTTCAGCGCATGATCAATTTCATCGAGAGATCCTTCCACATCAGGGAGAGGGAGTGAGGCAAACCAGCCGAACCGGTCTTGATATTTGCGACAGATCTGGGCGATCTCATCGTTGGTCTCCCGGGTGATTCGCTTAGCGAGCTCGAAGTCGTTTACTTTGAGATGAGTTCCAGGCGATGTAATACTCAATATAGATTTTTTGATGCCGAGTCTATCCATAAGCTGGATATGGCCTTCTGGTGACCATTCCTACCAAGGTATGTTAGCATTTCAGCTGAACCCAATGAAAGGAAATTCAAGATAGCATACTGGGATGCAGGACATGCCATCGGGTTTATCCCAACCAAACTCTTCACACCATTTTCTCCAACCTGGTGGAATGATATGACAATGAGTGTCAATCTTCTGCATATTTCTAACAGCCTTGGGCAACGCTCAATATTGTGGGTTCACAGCGATATTCTGCATTCAGCCATGAACTGTTCCGGGCCATCTCCTTCCTTATGTATGCGGGCTATTCGGGCTCCCACGCGGATTCAACGGAACAGCCGGCAGAGGAAACATTGATCGATCCCGACGACTCCCCGCGATTGCGGTCACCTATTCTGGGGATTAGTGGGTTCGTCGGGACTCATTTCACAGTTGATGTGGGTCGAGGATCATTGCGCGGGGATTATGCCGAAACAATCCCCGCATTGAGGAATATCATGCCAGTCTCCTCACATTGTGCATTGTTGCAACTGCTTCTACGTCATCTTAATGAACAGGGGGCCTGAAATATGTAGGGGTTTAAGGTGCATTTTCCTGCTGCGGCTGGCTATTTATTGTCAACAGATAGTCTCAATCAATTGTTTTCAGCTCATCCTGGAGGCTCATTCTCATACCGCATTATTCATACAATTACCATGTCGGCAACCCTGATCTCCAACGCTCGCATCTTTGATGGCGTCTCGGTCGTATCAGAGTGTGGTCATGTTCTGATTGAGTCCGGTCGCATTTCACAAATCTCACCTGAACAGCCTATGTCGCCGCCGGCAGACTGTGTTGTTGTCGACGCCACCGGCTGTACATTAATACCTGGCTTAATTGATGCCCATGTACACGTCTTCCGTGATGTGGAACTCCTCGAAACAGCCATTCAGTATGGTGTCACAACAGTTCTGGATATGCACAATGAGCGCGAGTGGTTTAAAGAGATCAACGCGATAACACGCCAGCGCAATGATGTGTCTGATGTTAAGTCATGCTGCTATGGTGCAACGATCAAAAACGGATGGCCATCTGCCATTGTTAGACTTGTCTCACAGGAGGAAAATGTTCGTACTGTGACAGGGTTTGTGTGGAGTTGTTTATCTAACTTTTTCTTCAGTTGGAGGATCGCATCTCTAAGTGGCCCAATCTTACAGACAAGAATTCGATCGAAGACTGCATTGCTAAGAACAAAGCTGCTGGGGCTACGTAGGCTTTTTCACTTTCGCAACGGAAGGCTGGGCTGTTCATTGATTTGGTTTCCACGAGCAGCTTCACGAAACTCATGCAAGAGGATGGTCATACCATGACTCTTCCTTTCCCAGAGCGACCTGTCCCAACTCCGTCGCTAGAAATGCAGAAAATGGTTGTCGATACATCACATGAGAACGGAATGCTGGCTGTTGCCCATGCCTTATCCAATCACTCTACTCTGCAGGTTCTACGGGCAGGCGTCGATGGTTTGGCCCATGCATCTATCGACCCCATCAACGATGAAATCATCCAAGCGTTCAAGAAGAATAATGCCTTCGTCATTCCCACACTGGCAATTCACGCATCTTCTAGTGGCGAGGAGCAGGAAACCCGGGACAAATTCGCAAGTGACCTTCAAGGTAAAGAGAAGGAACATCTGCTTGGGTGTCTGCACATCACATCGGACAAATTCTCTATCAAAAATGTCTATGAGCAGGTGTACACCCCCAAGGAAGCGGGGATTGACATTCTCTGGTAAGTACATCTTCATACAAAGAGAAACTTCAGGAAATTATGCTCATCACTTGTATAGTGGAACCGATACATCTATCGACGTTCCGGGTACTCGAGCTGGTATTTCTGTGCACCATGAGCTTTGGATGTATGTCAATCGGTGTCGGTTCACGCCCCTCGAGGCACTTGTGTCGGCAACTTCCAAAATCGCAGATCGCTTCAGCTTGTCAGACCGTGGTATAATCCAGGAAGGTCGGCTCGCAGATCTTGTACTTGTGTCTGGGAATCCGACAGAATCCATTGACACCATTGGCAATATCAAGACTATCTGGAGGAATGGCGAAGCGGTCGTCAAAAATTGACAGTTGCTCGGTGCTATCAATTTAGCAATGAATTCTGAATGAATCTCGCTTGTACTGGAGCACCCTCTGTCTTAATACCGTAGCACATCGTGCCTTCATAGGCTAATATATTTTGAGAAATGCCTGCTGCCATTGCAGGCCGTACACCATGCTGGTCGACGGCAGTTGAGATTTTATATTTGGTTGGAAAAGACTCGAGGCTACAGCAAAATATGCCTCAGAACTTGATCATCCGTTCTTCTTAGAGGCAATAGGTATTGCATGAGATTCAGGACATCCGGTTTAGTCGCCTGAGTATTCTTCCAAAACAGGAAAGCGGTGTTTGCTTAGGTCAGCCTCGGTTTTCCCCGCAATCTCGCTTTGCGTCGGCTCAAGCAGGTCCTCATGAGCTTCTCCCGTAACATCAAGACCGCCCTTTCTTCCCCAGCATCCCCTTCACATCTTCTCTATATTTGATCATGAAATTGGACTGAGTCCAAAAATTGGTGGACAAGTTCATCTAGCAGCTACACACAACCATACGCTGCTCACATCATCCGCCATGACCCTTTCATCCCTTCTCCGCATTACTCCCCGCCTCGTGCCGACCGCGGCCCGCAGAACTACGAGAGCTGCGTCCTCGGTGTCTGGCACGCAGGGTAACAAGACCCTGGACTCAATTCTGATTGCTAATCGTGGTGAAATTGCACTGTATGTTTTACCCTGGCTTTCTTTGAGGATTGCTTCTTGGATTGTGTGGATGTTGAGCTGATTATCTTGCTAGGCGTGTTGGCCGGACTGCTGCGGAGCATGGAATCCGCGTTACAACTCTTTACACCGATCCCGATAGTCGGGCGCAACATGCTTTGAGCACACCTTTTGCGTTTAATCTGGGCTCCGTGTCGGCCTACTTGGATGGCGACCGTATTATTGAGATCGCGAAGAAAGAAGGGTGTCGGGGTATTCACCCCGGGTATGGCTTTGTGGGTTGCCCTTGTCCGAGCTGAGATGTTGAACCCTTGTTGAGTCCAGTCTCTGGCTCTTGAGGCTTATGAGTGAAAAGGCATGTGCTAATGATTCTTTTTTTTTTTTTTTTTTACAGTTGAGTGAGAATTCTGCCTTTGCTCGAAAATGCACGGAGGCCGGCATTGTATTCATCGGTCCACCATGGAAGGCGATTGAGGACATGGGTGACAAGAGGTCTGTTGATTATCCCAAAATCCAGGTCCGTTGTGCCATAGCTGACAGATACTTAGTCGATCTAAGGAAATTATGATCGCCGCAGGTGTGCCCTGTGTCCCCGGATACCACGGCCATAACCAAGACCCTGCCTTCCTCGAAGCCGAAGCCGATAAAATCACATATCCTGTCCTGATCAAGGCTATCAAAGGTGGCGGTGGAAAGGGCATGCGAATTGCTAGCTCAAAGGCCGAGTTCCAAGCTCAGCTGGAGTCTGCCAAATCCGAAGCCATGAATTCATTTGGTGACGATCAGGTTTTGGTTGAGAAGTACATCACAACGCCCCGGCATATTGAGGTTCAGGTCTTTGCAGACAAACATGGCAACTCTGTTGCCCTGGGAGAGCGAGATTGCAGTATCCAGCGCAGACATCAGAAGATCTTGGAAGAGTCTCCCGCTCCTCATCTCCCGGATGCTACGCGAAAGGATATCTGGGCTAAGGCCCGATCAGCTGCGCTTGCAGTTGGGTACGAAGGTGCAGGCACTGTGGAGTTCATTTTCGACAATGACTCTGGAGAGTTCTACTTTATGGAGATGAACACTCGTCTCCAAGTCGAGCATCCCGTTACGGAGATGGTTACTGGCCAAGACTTGGTGCACTGGCAAATCATGGTGGCCGAAGGGGCCCCACTGCCTATGACACAAGAAGAAGTGGAAGAGCGTATTGCACGCAGCGGACACGGCATCGAAGCTCGTATCTACGCTGAGAATCCCGACCAAGGGTTCATTCCTGACTCAGGTCGACTGCTCCATGTCCGAACGCCCGCCACTACAGAGGACGTCCGTATTGACGCCGGCTTTGTGGAGGGTGACGATGTGTCAGCCCACTACGACCCGATGATCTCCAAGCTGATCGTTCGCGGCGAGACTCGCGAGGAGGCCATCCGAAAGCTCGGCGCTGCGCTCGAGCAGTACGAGGTTGCTGGCCCTGTCACGAACATCGAGTTCCTGAAGACTATCTGCCGCAGCCCTGATTTCATCGCCGGTGCGGTTGAAACGGGCTATATTGAGAAGCACCGCGATGAGCTTTTCGCCCCCAAAACCATTGAAGATGAGGTCCTCGCGCAGGTTGCTCTTGCATGCCTGCACCGTGACGTGCACTCAGGTGGCGCCGCGCCTTCGACCGGTCTTGCAGGAACCACGATCGGATTCGCACCCAGCTACCAGCAACGGCAGCTCTCATTTACCTCGTCCACCGGACCAAACACTGAAGGGACGACCTTCACCGTGCGTGTGCAGCAAACAGCAGATCAAACATTCAACGTCGAGATCGGCTCTCGAGTTTTCTCGCAAGTAACCAGCACAATGGACCCCGCCTCGCGCGTGGTGACCTCGTTCTTCGGGCACACGCGGCTGGACACGACCGTCGTCCAAGACGCGGAAACGGACACGATCATCGCGTTCCAGCGGGGCATACAGTACCGCCTGGGAGTGCCGCGGGCCAAGTGGATGGAGAAGGCGTTGGGTATGAAGGATGTGGCGAATAGCGTTCTGGCCCCAATGCCTTGCAAGGTACTCCGAGTGGAAGTACAAGCGGGCGATGTGGTGGAGAAGGACCAGCCGCTAGTGGTTATCGAGAGTATGAAGATGGAGACGGTGATTCGCAGCCCGCAACGGGGGACAATTGCACGCGTGGTTCATCAGCAAGGTGTAAGTCACATGGTCCCTTCCACCTTTTTCTTTTATCCGTTAGTCCTTTTCACAACTCGGTTCTGGAACCTGGTCTGTTTCTCGAGTTCTGGTCTCGACCGGATGGTGGCCGTTGCGCAGTTCGGGTCGCGTGATCCTGCTGTGATCCGTTCATTGCCCAGCTGCGGGGGTCATTCCATACCTGACAGCCCCTAATGCTCACCCGCGATCAATTTTCGATCACGAATCTGGAGATTTTACTAACGTGCCTTACAGGACCAATGCAAGAGTGGGACACCCCTGGTCGAATTCGCCGAAGAACCAGAATCAGCGTAAAAGATAAACTTGTTTGTTCGAATTGGAGTTTATGGGAGCATTGTGTTCACGATCATGAAGTATAGTTTGATTATTATGAATGTTATATTATTAGATCTGGATGAAATCCCTGAGGTCACGGCGGTTGGTCAAGCTAAGGCTCGCAACGGGGTTGTCATAGCACTGGCCGAACGACTCAGGCGGAGGATTGACGAGCCTCGCGGGGCAAGAGCTGCCCATACGCCATGAGTCACTCAACGGTTGCGGGTCAGGGGGTCTTTCCCTATCGACTTCCACAAATGTGAAGGGGTTGATGGTTCTCATGCGAACTACCGTCGCGAGCTCACATGAGTACTACATCCCGGGCTCGTCAAGAATCTAGTCCACAGAAGACCCAAGGCCAGTCGTCTACGCTGCCCAAGTTATGCTCTCTAGTAAAGTTGTTATATCCGGCCAGTCGTAAAATAAGAGAGAGAAATGAACAATAACAATTTGATATAATCCTAAGGAAATCTAGCAATATCCTCTCATAACACACAGTCTTGTCTATCAGAGTGATATTCTGCTTATCGTGCTCTTTCCAGTCTTCGACCCGCCTAGTGAAACTCGGGAGTATACCGTACTGTCTGGCATAGTAAGCAGTCTCGGCGACATCTTCTGCATATACTTATCATAGGCTAGTGCCGTTAGGAGAGCCAATTTAGTTGTTGTCAGAGCGCTACCTTGATAGTAGCTCTTGAAGGCCAAGAAAATCTTATCCTACTCATACTATCGATGACGGTAGGTAGTGGAGTCGACAACAGTTGGAATGATGATGGGCTCAACCATGGCCATAGGGATCTATCGAACGGATCTTACGCAGTATGAATGAGTACTTAGTGTAAGTACGTCGGTGGTAACCCAACACCTCCATTGGCACCACCAGTACGTTTTGCTTACAACGCATATTCTCCTACATCGTCATCCGGGGACTTGGTGGTTTTGCCACTGTCGCCCAGGCGTTATCCTGCATACTGCATGTTCTGGTACGGATAGCTTGTACATGTACATATCGGGGGCGCAATTACCCGGCAGGTGAACTTTGTACCTGGACCCGAGTCACTCGATAGGTCTGATGCCCCAGGGCGTGGCGAAAAGGAATGCGTCGGATACATGGAGTGCATCCTGCCTGATACAGCGGTGAAATACAGATAGGGTGGCGGTAAATGCGCCATCGAAGCGGGGTTTAAGATCAAAACAAAACAGAAAAAAGCAATTGCAATTGATTACCTTTGCGGTCGCAGAACCAACCAACTGGGAGAAGGATATACTTACTGTAGGGCTAGGCCACAGCAGCCCTTAAATTAAACTTGAGGATAGTCATATTCAAGTCGAAGGTATTTCAAAATAATATGTACTGTCTTTCGAGGTAGCCTTCTTGAAATTCGACCGAATCCAAGCTTCTCGTACTTTTGTCCGATCGATCCACTGGTGGGCGTTTGGGGCTGTAAGAACTGCGTCCACCTGACATCACTGTTTTTGGTTACTGCTAAATATTCTCTGCAAAGTACTCCGTACAAGCGTAGAGGTGTTACTGTGTAGATTACTCCATAATTACTACTCCGTACATACTCCATAAATTCCATCAACTCAATTGCTTGTCCACTCGATAACCCCACGTCCATTGACCATTGGAGACGGACGCCACGGACAATTGGGCCTATCATGTCAAGATTCATGATCATGAATAATAGAACACAAAGAATTTATCATTAATTATTCCTATTAGGTATGATTATCATTGACTATTATGTTTATTATGTTCATTTGTGAGTGTTTCACCGCAAGTGTTGCATTCCCCAGCTCCCTGGGGCCACTTCGAGAAGCTCGAGCTTCCATCCCTGTCGACTGGTAACTCAAGGAAAAAGAAGGTTAAAGCATGACCTTTTTTTCTTTTCTTAAAATTCAGAAAAGACCCTCTTGAACAGCTTTACATCTAGCTGTTCCTTTTCCCTTCTCAATTCTTCTTGGTTTTCCTGACTTTTCTCCCCATCGACTTCCTCGCCATCCCTACTTTTACACCCGCATACTTGTTCCTTGAGAGCTGACGAGGTCCTTATCCCCCCCATCATACTCCATTAATTGGTTCACACCACCTTTCACTCTTGACTCCTCTCCTCTTTACCCCCAGCTACAGCTTCGGTAACCCGAAGATACCATCAATCATGTTCAACCGTCCGGTCGCTCGCTCGGCCGTCAAGGCACTCCGTGCAACAACCCGCCCAGCAACACACTCAACATTCACCCGCCCACTCTCCTACACCATAGCCCGCGCCAATAAGAAAAATGACCCGAAGAACGACCCAATTCTCTCCGCAACCACAAAGGCCCCCGAGGGCGCCTCCGGTGAACATGAGGGTCAATTCGCTCGTACCGACGAGAACGTCCAGATCGAGTATCCGCCCGACAGCGAGATGCCCGCCCAGCCCGTTGTTCAGGGCCGCGGCGGCATGCATTTCAAGCGCACCCTAGCCCAATTCTCCCTCGAGAGTAAGGTCAGCATGGTGACGGGTGGTGCGCGTGGTTTGGGTCTAGTTATGGGGCAGGGCTTGGTGGCCTCGGGCTCGGATTTGGCTATCGTTGATCTAAACAGTATGTTTGTCCTGGCGAGAGCTTAATCCCAAGCTTCAGCTCCATTGTGGATGCCGATTAATCTGCAGTGCTGTGTCTCCGTGCTAATTGATGCGTGCAGAGGCCGAGGCCGAAGAGCAGGCTCAGAAGCTTGTCGAGCAGTTCCGCAAAGAGAACCCGGGTCTGGAGGAGTAAGTGCGCCTTTCAATTATTAGACTCATCCTTCTTCAATACTCTCTTCTTCATCCGACAAACGCAATTACCACAAGACAAGCTCCCTACAGCTAGCTAACCCAGCCGATCCCATAGAATGCCCAATGTCACAGCCCACTACGCCGACGTCGCAAACCCAGACTCCGTCAACGAAGCCCTCGCCGAAGTCCTAGCCAAACACAAGCGCATCGATAACCTTGTCACATCTGCCGGCTTCACCGAAAACTTCGACGCGATCAGCTACCCATTCGATCGCATGAAGAAGCTCTGGGGCGTTAATGTTGACGGCACATACCTATTCGCCACGGGCGTGGCCAAGCACCTGATGGAGCGCAATGCACCCGGCAGCATTGTCATGATTGGATCCATGTCCGGCTCGATCGTTAACGTTCCCCAGCCCCAGGCGCCGTATAATGCGGCCAAGGCTGCGGTGCGTCATCTGGCGGCGTCACTGGCTGTGGAATGGGCGGGTCATGATATTCGTGTTAACTGTATCAGCCCTGGCTATATGTTGACTGCTCTGTGAGTGTTTCTTAGCTTTATGGCGCAATTATAGACTCGTGTTGCTAATGCATTGGTTTCTTCCCTGCAGCACCCGCAAGATCCTCGACGAGAACCCCCAGCTCCGCGATAAGTGGACCTCTCTCATCCCCGTTGGAAAGATGGGAACGCCCGAGGACCTGATGGGCGCTGTTACCTTCCTGCTTAGCGATGCTTCGAAGTACATCACGGGTGCAGATCTCCGTGTCGACGGTGGATACACCCTAACCTAGTTTTGCAACACTCTTAGTCCCTAGCATGGGATTCTCGCGAACACGCCTATCTAGGTTTCCCTTCAATTGCATGATCTACGGATCCGTTTCTGGTTTATATCATGGATGCAATATAGAGCGATTCTGCTTTTCTTTCTTTTCTTTCGATATTTTATTTTTCTATATGTACACGGAAAATGCTCCTCTGTTTACTTCAAATGAAACGTCTAAAGTATATTCTTTCACAAATCGCCCCCCTAACCCTGTCGTACCTCATTCGTCAGCTGAGGCCCAAGAACAAGTTCTGTTGTCGTTGATCATTCATTGTATCTGCCTATCCAAGATCTCAATGAATTTCGAGGCCAGGAATTTTTGTTTTATTGACATTTGATGAGCCCCGCTTTGTTTTGATCCCCATCTTAGCAAACATTCATTGACATCATCATCCGCGATGATTGGGCGCAAAAGCTCCGTTCTATTGGTCGGCTATTCGCGGGTGCGGGGAACCTTGAACCGTTAGATAAACTCTATGGGGGCCATCTACGTAAGGTTGATAAAGTATTAGATACCTAAACAAATAGACAGTTGTCTCTGTACTTACCTCTTGCAATAACTTATGCGGATCGAAGTCATTATCAATCACTATCTCACATAACCACTACAAGGTAGCCGCTGCACATTAGTCTTCTGCCGGTTGTTTGAATATATATGAATTGATTTTGTCCGGCAAGGCAAAACTGCCATGTCTCATATTCCCACGATGGGTCTGAAGTGTATCACCGTGTAGCAGTTAGAGGTTCTATATCATGCAATCATGGAAGGAATAAAATTGCTGAGGGCAAAATTAGTTCTCGCTTACAGCATGAAACAGCGGTCGGCAGAGAATATTTATCTCGGCGAACTCGGCCCTGATTTCCCATTTCATACCTCAAACGCCTTGGCTTCGTGCCGATCTCTTCATATCTCCGACTACTAACCCTTTTATTTCACTGATTATCTCGCGAGTCGGTCATACGATAAAAATCAGGCTTAAACTAAAGGCCATGGATATCCCTCATCTTAATTCTGACTCAATTCAAGTTCATTTTGAATCATGCGCGCCTATCTGACTCTGGCATTGCTAGCCAGCTCTTCCCTCGCACAATCAACAGTCCAATTGTTCAATTTCTCTAGCTACGTCGATATCGAAAACATTGCTCTTCGCCCGAACGGCCATCTCCTCCTTACTACTTTCGATCAAGGCCGTCTCTACACCCTCAACACTTCCGGTCGCACTCACCACGCTCAATTAGTCGCGTCTCTCCCAGGGGCCACCGCCCTCTGTGGAATAACAGCCATTGATCATGACAAGTTTGCCATTGTTGGAGGGATCAGGGGCAGCTACAGCTACACGAATGAGACACTCTATACTGTCGACTTTACCCATAACGCCGTCAATCCCATCATTCGGACAGTTGCCCGTATCCCTAATGCCGTGATGCTCAACGGCATGGCTTCCTTGCCTACACAACCACACATCGTTCTGATCGCAGATTCACGACTCGGATGCTTATTCCGCGTTGATACAACAACGGGTATCTCGAAAATAACCTTCAGGGACGACACTCTAGCAGCACCCACAAACGCAAGCATTCCGATCGGAATCAACGGGTTAAAGATCGCTCGCGGCTACTTGTACTTCACAAACACCGCACGGGGGACTTTCTCACGAGTCCCTGTCAGTGCAGATGGGCTGAAATTCGGCGATGTAGAGCTTATTGTTAGCCTGGATATGAGTGTCTCCGGGGATGACTGGGATGATTTCGCCTTGGATACAGATGGTGTCGCGTATATTGCGCAGCCTGATAATTCTATAGTGAGGATTCAGCCAGATGGTCAACAGATTATTGTTGCTGGCGGGGGAGAGACAGACGATATTATCGGGCCTACTTCGGTGCAGGTCGGGATAAGTGGAGTGTTGTATGTTACTACTCGTGGTGGAACTGTTGATGGGGTTACGTATAGTGGTCAAGTAGTAGAGGTGCAACTAGCTGAGTAGTGTTGAATTGGCGTTTCTTCAATGAAACAGCGTATCCATGCGGTAAATCTCAGACATTTGCAAATCGGTTAGTCTCGCGGTTCTACAAGCCATGAAACATACTTTAAATCATAATCTATAGACTGAGCCCAGGTTGGGCGAATTTTCATGGACTACACCATACTAGGGACGTGAGTCAGGCGCGATGCTACCTTCCTTAGGGTTTCGGAATATCTTGCAACAGTTCTCTGTTTTGTTTCGGTTCTTGTCCATCTAAGGGTTTAAAGCCATTGGAAAATGAGTCCATCCTCCAGTTTTTGATGTTTTCCCTACATTGGCGCTTCTCATACCATTTCCATTCACCTATTCTTATTCCACTTTCAGTTACGTTGGCAGCTTGATAGTCGATTTACTTATCAACGTGGTTTATCAATACACATCTACGAAATTTATAGCAGCTCGGCTATTCTGACCCCGACAATCGATTGCCTGGTGATATAAAGGCCAGTAGGGTTCTACCATTCCAAATTGTTTCAGCAATTCACACCAAACCTGTAACGATGCACTGCCATGATTCAAGTATACACTGACACAAAATGAACGACCTAGTGAAATCCATCTCTCCTGCTACCACAAAGTCAAGATTTCCAACTGATGGAAATTCCCTCCTATCGGCGAATTCCTTATTTGTTCAGGCCCAGCGCCTTGCCTATAAGAGGACTCTGCTTCCCTCTTTCTGTTTTGCTCCCTTAGAGATCTCTAGATTGAGCGACTGACTACGTAGTGATACCGAGTGCGCCATCCCCAACTCTTCCTTCTACCGAAGCTTCGTCAAGTTATTGATGATCCATCAACTCTTCTACCCAGTATAGTACCGCCGCCGGATAGGTTCCCGAGCTGGCTTATCTCGTATTATATCACAACACAATCCCAAAATCTCACTCACGGGTGATGGTCAATCTTTCCAGCCCTCTTTATAATAACCATCACCCCGTTCCAGTGAAATCGACTGCATCGGGTATGACTCGAATAAGTGAGACGTATAGGTATCGTGATCTCCATCAACCAACCTGAAAATTACCATATACTTGCTCATCTCAGCCGTCCGGAGTGAACAGAACTTACCTACTCATATTCTATTGGAGGAAGCTTCTGTCCCCAGTCCCGTAGTCAATTTAGCACTCTGTCCATTGATTCAAATTGAAGCTGGGACTAGCTTCCAGGTACCTTACCCCTACCCTTCCCTTCTCAGCACTACGCCTGCTATGGACGATACGATTGATATATGCTCGCTTGATACCCCATTAGGCGCCGCTAAGTCGGCGATGTAAACAACCGCCTACACCCATTAATCAAACGTATTATCATGACACTCGAGGCGTCGTTGTGATCAGGGCTGAACACCACAACGCGAAGCCTCAATCATGGTCCCCAGCTACTGGTGATCAGGTTTACGTGCGCTTATACAAAGACCATCAAGTTGTGTCCAAGGTCCATCACAACCTCGGCGCACAGTGCGCATGCCTATTCAAGGTGATTGAAGCATTGTCCAATTCCTGTTGCCTGGTGTTGGCCCCTCGACGCAAGATTCATCTAGTTATTTCGATCGGGCACCTGGAGCTACCCTCAACGCCAGACAAAGTTCGATAGCGCGATCTGTAGCGATCATACAGAGGCAGCCCACATCTGCGCTATCGATCTCTTCAGTGGTGAGATATACTGTTGAACCACCACGTTCAACCGAATGCACCGGTCACCAAGTGGAACTGTTGGGTGACAAGGATCAGCCCTCAAAGCTGGAAAGTCGCTCACCACAGTTCGCACACGACGACCTGCCCGAACTTTCGAGACGAAGAAACTCTTGGGCCACCTTGTAGTGACTCGTGAGTTTTCTTCCTCTTGCGCCTTCTCCTCCTCCTACCTCCTCTTCCTCTTCTTCTCGGATAGAAAAAACTCGTCAACCCGAACCTGCATCCCCCTTATTCGACTCCAGCAATAGATCCCGCACTCGCGAACAAGCTATCCAATCTGTCCTTTGATGATAATATCAATATCCTCGAAGCTTGCGTTCCAGTCATCCGCAGCCTCTGTACATGTATGTTCTGCCTTGGTTTCTCTCCATCTATAGCTTTACTGACGCTGTTCCCACAGACTTTGACAATACCCAGCCAAGCATGGAGACTATCCAGCGGCTTAAGACTCTCTTTCAGAAAATCTCGAGTCCCCCAAACAGCACCAAAATGTCGAAACCCCCACAGGTCTGACCTGGGTCCAAATGCAGGTTCCGGGGTCGGTGGGCTGCAAGCCGGTGAGTACCAGTGTCAAGTCTTTTGTTCATGCCCAAGCTTTATACTTTGCTTTCCAGCTTACCTCTCTTATCCCCCGGTCTCATCTTACTTTTCGCATGCGGCATGCTCATGTAACATGACTTCAACCTTTGTTCAAGGATTTTATTAATGAGAGATGATTGATTAGACCACCACCAAGCGGCGGGACCCAAGCCGAAGGTGAAGCCACTGCGCCCCGTGGATCCTGCCTCCGATTACGAAGCCCTTGTGGTTGAGCTGGAAAGGAATCTTCTCCCCATCGATGCCTCTGCATTCCCAAGATCTGCCTTCAGGAGGGGATCCAGCCCTCCAATATCACCCTGCAACAGACGCTTCTAACAAGGAACTTGGGGGAGTACCATGCCAGGTGGAAGGCAGGGCAACATAAGCATCCTCCACTCGGTCTCGCGGACTGTCTCCTACTCGTTCTACCCCTCACCTTTACGACTCCGACAGTGATGAAGAGGGGGTGTCTCTCTCGAGGGATACCTTGAGGGGTATCATTAAAATGCCATGAAGCATGAGTCGACTCGGAGATACAGGCTCTTTGAGGTGTTGTCTCTGCCGACGAATCACGTCCAGATATTATGCTGCTTTCATGTCCTCTACAGTCCAGATGCACTAGGAGTACAATGAGATTGTGAGGCGGGTATGAAACATAGTAATTTATGCTTTTCTAAAAAAAAGATTTGAATAAAAATGTAGTCAAATAAGGCCCATGATGAGAAACGAGATAACCAGAACGAACTCCATACACCCAAACTCCGTCGAGCGGATCATGAAAACAACAAATGATGCATGCGAGATACAGTAGGTCTTTGCCTCCTCTCTCCCCTCTCCCCGCAGCAGAGTGCATTTATGGGCTCGGAATGATCATCAAATACGCCTTTTAGTACGAAAGGGCACTCAAATCTGTTCAGCCTTTTCAGCATCCACCATCTCAGCGCCATCGGCCGCCCGCCGACTCTTCAGCCAACGCAGCAACACCCACGACGCGGTAACAACCCACATAACAAGGTTGACCAGATCAATCCAAACCGCATGGCGCATGCGATCAATCTTCGCCGCATCACCCAACCCCGAGCTCGAACTAGAAGTCGAACTCGAGCTATCAGTAGTCGTAGTGGTGGTATCACGCTTGCTCGAATCATTCGAGTTGGAAGGATACACGCCGATATACATCTTCCCAAAGATCCCAAACAGCGTCAACCACAAGATACACAGAATAAACTCCCACACAAACTGGGGCAACTTCAACTTCGGGTTCGGTCGGTACGTAACACGGCGCATCATAAAGGGCAGAATCATATGCACAGACGCGGTGCTAGTCGCCAAAAAGGCTGCTATCATTGCGAACACCCATTTCGCACGCGCGGTATGTCCGTTTTCATGGTCGTGATGGACGTCTCGGCCGTAGAGGCCGATGACGGTTAAGCCGAAGACGAATTGCAGGAAACGTACGCCGGAGATGAACATGCCCATCACCTTGGTGCCCTTGCTGATGGATTCGCCGGGGTTGCCCGTTGGGTATTGGATGTTGGAGCCGGGTCCGACGTTGGGAGGGTAGTTGGACATTTGGATTGGTGGTTCGGTGCCGTAGTTGGATTGGTAGCCTGGTTGTTGGAATTGCTCGGCTTGTTTTGCTTGCTTTTTGGCGGCGTGGTGCTTTTTGGCTTTGGAGAGGCCGAATTTAACCAGGGGGACGACGAGGAAGGACATTTTGTTTGGTGATTGATTGGTTTGGTAGATGCAAGGAATTGAAAATAGAGATGGATAATGAAATGTATGATCGTTGGGTCAAAGAAAGACTTGAAAGTGTTTATTCAAGTGTTGGAACTGCGCACAGCGCGAGGATGTGTCGTCAAGACTGGAGAATGGTGTGGTATACAAATGTATAAGAAAGTCACAGAGACAGAATATTTGTAGAGGCAGCAGACTCTGGCTAGTTCCGGGGTAGCCTGGGTCCAGATTAAGGATCGAAAAGCAGAGACGAGTCTGAGGCAAGAAGGTAGGCAGCGGTCATCAACCAGGATAGACCAAACAAAGAAAGGATGATATCTGAAGCAGATCAAAGAACGATCAAACGGATGAAGTATCGACTCAAGTCTAGAATGAAAGTGATATGAAGAAAAGTAATGCAAGAAAACAAGGAAAGTCGTTGCTGTTGTTCGTTTCATGCTACATCCCCGGGTTTCTTCATGCCTTTATACACAATCCCCATCCCAAATCCGTATCAAACTCGTCAGCAATAAAGTTCCAACCGCATTCTTCAAAGAACAATGTTTCTATTCCAGTCCATCCCTGAAACAAAGCTCCCCTGGCGTCTTTTGGCACCGCATGTTAAGAAGATTAGCTCGCGACTCCACCGCGTCGGCTACTCGTTGCTGTCCGCTCCTCCACAGAAGAGAGAGCTGCCAAAGAAAGATGAAACACAGCTTCCATAAGGCTAGACAGAAATAAACATTGCTCACCTTGTATGAAGTGGAGCCGCTGAAGCTGACGCAGGAGCTGGTGCGGGATGGCGATTGGGGAAGGGCCGAGATGGATCGGCGCGAGGGTTCAGTTCGCGCGCGCCAACGGGAGGAGAATTGGGGTTTCAGCGTTGAATTGCTTTGTCAATTGATATCCAATCAGATGAGCGGTGCTAATTACGCAATGCGAAACGCTGCAAAACTAGATAATCTCTCTGTCCCTTCATTGATTGGGTTTTGGCAAGGTCATCTGGATCTAGAGCGCTAGCTAAGAATGCCGGGGTGGGAAACAAAGAATTGACCGTGGTGATGGCCTCATCTCCCATTTCCAGTTTCACCAGTCATGCAACTCTTTTCTCTAATACCCATGCCTACCAAATAATACACAGATTCTGATCTAAGTCCCAATGATATTCTTAATATGCACATCGCTCAACACGGCGAGATCTGTCATTACAATTACAGAGAATCAAACCCTTCATGAACAAGAAAAGAAACCCCTGCCCAATGAAAATCGCTCGCCAATCCAAAAATGCTTTAATAGAGGGGGGAATTTCCAAGATGCAAATACTCGTAAACCATCCGATCCACGCCGTCCCAACGGAGATGAATCCTATCTGACCCGCGCAAAAAACAGACATGTTCTCAAGCAAAATATGCACACTCACTTCAATAAAGGACCAACCTGCAAAAGTCCCAACAAGATCCGGTTAGATCAAGTCAAGGGGTCGTGCCGTGTCGAACCGTGCCTAAGGTCAGGCTGGTCGACTAGCCCCCGCATCTGCAGCGCCATTGACGGTTCCACCAGCTGCAAAGGCCTTGGGGGGAATGTCTGCTGGCGGCAGCGGGGGCTTGAGATCTGTCGGAGAGGCAGGGTCGGGGCCTGGAATAGATCCCTGGTCGTCATCATATTCATGGCCTATGTACTCGTCGTCCGGGAGGCCAGACCCGGCGGCAGAAGAATGGTCGACTGAGGCGCGATCATAGCCTTGTTGATATCCCTGGTGGGAGGAGGCATTCTTCGCATTCTTGGTCGCCTTCTTGGTCTTGCGGCCCTTCATCTTGGCCTTTTCGAGGAGGCGCTTCTTCTCAGCCAGCCGCTTGCGCTCCTTGCGGTCTTTGAGCTCATACTGCCGAATGAGTGCCTCCGGCGGGTGTCCGAAGATGCTCTCGTATTCGCAAAACTCGCAAATCCAGATGTCCTCCAGGCTAGGCGGGTGGTGGATGTTGGTGTATTGTTGCTGGATCTTGCGTTGTCGCGCGGCCAGTGCGTAGACGCTGCCTGGAGAGCGCTTCTTCTTGCGGCCCACGGATGCCTGGTCTCCTTGCGGGGACGACATTTGCGTGCCGGGAGGAACCTGCTGGTTCATTGGTGCAGCCATATTTGGGCTCGTCTGGGTTCCTTGTGTGGAGAAACCCCGAGGGTTTTGAGTAGTAGGAGCGAGAGGGGAAGTCGGGGAGCGGTATGGCCCAGAGTATGAGTTTCGCTGCAAGGCCATTCCTTTCGAGGAGTCCGATTCGCACGTGAACGTGAATTGAGTCTTGGTCGGGGTCGTGTTTTCTTGATCCAGCAGGCTGACATTGCTGGGGCCTCGGGGGGGAGAGGAGAAGGTAGCCGCGTTGGCAATGGCAGTCGAAATGATGCCTTGGTCGGCGGATTCACCTGGTGACTTGTCAGTACAACGGCGGATGCCTCAATAGGACAGAAGAGAAACCAAGTCTCATCAGCAGACAAACATACCGGATGGTCCAGGGGAGGACATCAGGCCATCCCGCCGAGCAGGCGGCCGAGTGCTATTCATCCACGCATTCTGCGCATTTGCGGACAGCGGGTTTCGCCCGCTGTTGCTGCGAGTTGAGCTTCGTCCCAAACGACCTCGACCAGAACCGGATATCCCACTGCTCAAAGGCGACGCGGGATTGCCATTTCCATAATAGGTACCTGTTGACATGCCATCACTAGCCGCAGGTGGTGACGGGGCCGAGCTAGCTAGACCCATGCTGGCAAATTCCGGGGAGAGAGCAGAGTGATGACCACCCATGTTCCCCGGAGTTGGAATTTTCCTCTTTTTCTTGTTGTTTGTGTTTTCGAACGCATCGTACCCATCGGGCCCGGAGGATTTCTGCGAACCGTCCCGACCTTGACCCTCGTGTTGATTTTGACCCTGGCCAGAGAAAGCTGGCCGCTGCGGACTAGACCCCGGCGACATCGATCCTCGAAATCCTGCACTCCGCCGTACGACTACTGGCCCGTCTTCGTCCCCGCTTTCAAGTTCCACGGCCGTCTCGAAGCCGTGTGAGTCGGCCTCCGGTGTTAGTTCGTGTCTCTCCAATGCTTTTTGCCGAGCATAGGCTTTCCCATGAGGGGCCACCTCTTCTGTGTCTCCGACGCCGTAGAAAATCTGCGAAGCTGGCGGTGTGGGTGGGTAATGGATGGTGTCGGCCGCATCGGTGGACAATCGAGAGCGCAGGGTGCGTCGAGGGAGAGGTCGAATCAGACGATCGGGATAGACGGGGGAAGGTGTGTCAGGGGTCGAGTTGAACGTCCCGTCTACACAGATTGCACACCACGTCAGTAACCGAGTAACCAGCAGACTACCTCTACAACGAGGATCAAGTCAAAGTCCAAGGGGCCCGGAGGCAACTGGCCGGATATGGCCCCCTCACGAGTCGACATACTCATAGTAGCAGTCATCCTGCAAGTTCTCCACGCCTCTCAACCCACGTCGATACGTGTGGAATGAGTGGCTGCCAACTCGTTTTGTCTTATTTCTTGTTCCCCTCCACCTTTATGGTCGTGAAAGAGTCCAATCCACTAGAAACAAGACTCGGAGTCTAGAAATGTCGGGAAACCGCCGATTCGGGGAGCCACTGTGTTTCGGAAGAGGGGGGTCAGCCGTTGTCCATACATAGAAACAAAGAAAAAGCCTCGAGGCATGAGAATAGACTCCGGGTGAAATAGCCAGACTCGAGATATGTTGTTTTAGTAGTCCAGGGTCTTCTTCAAACAAGCTACCTCGGCCGTCCACAATCACGGAGGATATAGGACACGGGATATAGGGTATAGGGATCTAGGTCAACCCACAATGCTATGAATCAGTACGGACGAGACTCGGAACCGCGATGCTGAGGCAGAACCAGATATAATCGGGTCTACCAGCGGCTCTCAAGAGCTGGAGAGCTAAAGAACCGAGGGAGAGTCGAATGACGATGCGGAGGGGTTGAGTTGGTGAAGCGAAAGACCAGCGAGTCACGGGAATTCGGAATGGAGGACGCTAAGCCCGTTTGGGTCGGGCACCCAAGCGGGACACTAGAAACTTTTGGCCAAGTCAAGTTGCCTTCATCTTTAACACGAGTTGGAGCCAACGTATTACGCAGCAGACTAACAGATTACTATCACTCAGATACAGGTACCAACGATGGTTTGGGCCTTGCAGGTTGACCACATTTAGCTATGTTGAACGAACCTCCTTCAGGCTGATGAGCCATCCTATCCCAACCAACCAGGGCTGCATATCCTATAATAGCCGGGCTACAGCGGGGAACCGGGCCAGTCATGCACAGAGGAGATTATCCAGGAAGCTACTTGGACACAATCCTACTCAATTACTTTCTGCCTCCTGGCTACAGACTACCGCAACCTCCCCCTGGGACTGATGCTATTCACCGTGTACCTGCATTTCCGCCTGCGAGCTTACCTGGGCACCACCAGTGCGACTTGAGTGCGACAGCTCGAAGCTCACTCGTATAGCCCGAGGGAAGCAGGACCTCCAGCAAGACCTCATCTTGGGACCAATACCCAGTGTGCAAGATCAGTTATACGGAATTGAATTCCCAATGCCGAAGTGAGACCTACACGTGTCGACACGTTGAATGTGACTTACTCGACCGTGTCAAGTCAGATCCAGCGACTCTCGAAACGAGTGCAACGCCGCGAGGAAAAGCTGTGCTGCATAGCCATAGCAGTCCAAAGTCCCCGAGTCTCGAGCAATCGCAGCGCGTTGCAAGACGAGGATCGCACCGGCTCGCTGCCAACTGTGGCTTGAGCGAATCCCCACCTCAACGATAGCCTTCCTCTTTGCTGCCCATGGTCAAGTCTTGCGTCTCGGACAAATGAATTTGGACTGTGAACGATCCCAACGTCCCGACCTCGCAGTTATTATCAAAGTGAATCGCGATGGTCGCCGTGCCGGTCGAGCTGCTCGAAAGGGCGTAAGAGGAGGGCGTGCAGGCTTAGCGCGTTTTGAAAGGCGGGAGGCGAGCGAGGAGATTCTGCGTGGATAAGCCAGGTCAACTCAGACAATCTGAACGTGTCTTCAATAAATAGAAAGCCAAATTCGAGAATAGTATCAACTCGTCATTTATTCTTCATCCAAATTGTAGAGCCCTGCGACACGACCAAAAAGCGGTAAAAGAAAAGGCGCGTCAAGAGGCGTCGAAGGTTGAGGAGCGGGGAAGGGCGGCCGATTGGATCTTTTGGAGTCAGTCCCGTTCCGGCGCTTTTCTCCTTCTCTTCTTCTCCTCTGCAAACCCCCACCAATCTCGCACTCCTCCCTATACTATGTAGTCATCGGGCTCTCCTTCGAGCCCTGTGACGCTTTACTTCAGATCAAGCTGCGATTCTCGCCATTGCCCTCCTCTCCTTCTACCCCCCGAAGCTCTCAATCGCGCGTCCCAGAGCTCCCTCGCAACCAGTTCTGCTTGAAAACGAAAGAATCCCTCCCTCCTTCCCTCACACCCTCGCCCACTCCCACGTCTCGAATCCTTCCCGGCTTCGAAAAAAGACACTCGCTTCTTCAACTGGAGTAGAACCTGTCAGGGACTGATCGCGCCGCCATGACGCCTCGTCGCTCCTCGCGGGCTCGCACTACCCAGCCCTCGCCGGCCCTCCTCCAGCACACCAACTCCTCCAGCTCCAACAACTCCCTCACTCGTGAGCGAAGCACCCGATCAAACCACAAAAATCAATCCCCTCATGGCTCTTCCGGTCATCGTTCGCAGTCCATCGACGATACGGAAAATGGCTCGAGGACCGATCTCCCACACACGCGCCAGCGCCAGCGCACTCGCATTGACAATGATGGACCCCCTCGTGAAGACGATGACGAGGATCCTGAAGAGGATGAGGAAGAGGAGATTACTCGTTGTCTCTGTGGGCAGCAGGATTACCCTGGTTTGCCCCCCTCTCGCCGCGACGCCTTCGGGGGCGTAGGCGTGAAGCCAGAGGAAGGCCTCCCGCCCACAGATTCATCTGATCTGCTGTCTGATGACATTGGAAGTATGTTCATCCAGTGCGATTCATGCAAGGTGTGGCAACATGGTGGCTGTGTGGGAATCATGGACGAGGAAATGAGTCCCGACGAATATTTCTGCGAGGAGTGTCGAAAGGATTTACACAGAATTCGGGGTGAGCCCAACGGGTAAGTTTGTGAAAAAGTTTCCCTTGAAAATGCCTCATGTAGCGTTCAGTTTATTTTCGCTTCACTTTGGAGTTACCTGTCGAGTTGCAGCCAAGGCTAGTTCTGCTGGTGATCACAACCTGTGGCGACTTGGAGCGGGCTCTTCGCTTCATTGCAAGGGAAGATCTCTCACACAGGACGAGTGCATCTGCAATCAAGCTTCGAGTTCCCTCTCTCATTTCTCTCCTTTTCCTCATTTGCCTCTTCTTGGCATCAACAATGCTAACAACCCAGCAGCCAGCGCTCCTCTACCTACCTTCCCGTCGCACCTGCATCATCACCTGCGCCATCTTCCCGAGCCTCTTCGCGAGATACTTCCCGGCGCTCCAGGGACCCCAAGTCTCGGGGCAGCGAGGGTGCGTCAAATCCGAAGCGTCGCTCGACCATGAACAGCCGGGATGCTGCCTACGATGAGGAAGAACTGATCCGGAGAGCGATTGAAGAAAGCAAAGAAGATACAAAAAGCATTACCGATGAAGCCGCCCCGCGCTTGAACAAGAGAAGCCGAAGTGAAAGTGAATCGTGAGTTTCCCTGACACTCCCTATGCCAGATTCAAGTTCAGCAGCTGACAATCACGGTTTCAGAAATAGACAAGGCTCCAAACGCCCGCGAACTACCTCTCCCTCGCCCACGGCTGTCTCGAAGCAGAGCGTTCCTCCCTCCCAACCCCCGTCCGATGATGAGTCCAAGCCAAAGGCGACCAACGGCACCCGAAGACAGAGAGCAGCTTCCCGAGGCCAGCGCGACAAAGAACCTACCAAGGAGCCTGAGGAGCCTGAGCCTGAAGTCCCTGAAACAGGTACCCGCCGGAAAGAGCGATCTAACCGGCGCAAGGGAGATGGTAAGAGTCCCTCGAATTCGACAGGAAAGAGGTATTTCCCCAGGATTGCTCACACGGCTCAATTTTCAGAATCCGATAACGAGATTGGATCCCCAACCAAGCCTGCAGCACTAGCCCCTCCACCTCCCGAGCCCGAGCCGGTTCAGGCAAGCCCAGATACTCCCACCCCTCAAGAGCCGACCCCCGCGCGACCATCGACACGGAAATCTGGACGTCCCCCAGCTCGCCGCGGTGGCAGAGTCGGACGCAATCAATATAGCAAGGATCGAGACACGAACGGGAACGGCACCGAGTCCCCGCGCCGGGGTCAATCACACGACATAGGAAGCGACTCACCTCGAGTCGGATACGTTGGTATCAATGGCACACATATGAATGGCGGTGACACGGGGCGACCCAGTAAGCCGCGCCATATGCACCCGCAGCGCACGACGATGAACGAGATGAAGCGGCGTGTCGCTGCCATCTTGGAATTCATCTCGCGCATGCAGGTCGAGATGGCGGTTGCCAGCGAGAACTCGTCAACACCAACGGGCAACGGTGACCGGGCACAGGGCCTGCTGCTGAAGAGCATGGTGGACCAGATTGATAGTGCAATGGCATCCACCATCAGTGACGGCGGCGAGTCTGTGCCTGCGTTGACCGATGGCGATGGCGATGCGCCTTCGACGTCGGCTCACGACAAGGACTTTAAAGATCTGAGCAGTGTCGAGATGATGGACGTGCTCACTCGTCACCTGCTCAAATGGCAGCAGGAGTATGGCAAGTTCGGGGAGCGGTAGCGGTCCGCGCGGCTGCTGTGTTACCTTTTTCTATCCGGACATATGTCCTCGTGGATATCCTGTGCACTGTCACGCTCCTCGCCTCTGCTCCTGTCCCATCCTGTCTCGCCGTACCTTCAAACCCCATACGATACCCCCTCTTGTTTTAACATGACCGTCCCTGTTCATCCCTCTTCTCTTCTCGACTCTCATCTGCCATATTTATTCTCACCACTCCTCCGTCCTACATCTTCACCTCGCTCCTTTCGCGTTGTACATTATAAACCACGTTACCGTCGGTTTGCTTTGCCTTGCTGGCGTCTGTCTGCGATTACGTTTACGTCTTTCTCATATCCCCCATACCGGACCGGCGTCATGAATCGAATCATATCTTAGGTTGACATCATACTGGAGAACGACAGTGAAAAGCCTCAATGGGTGTGCTACGGGGTTTGATCGCGGAATTTCAAATTGGTATAATTCATGAATTCATGCTTCGCCCTACCGTTCAACTTACCCTCCGATCCCGTGGCCACCCGGCAATCCTCCGGTTTTCCCTTTATTCTTCTTTTACTCTTCTTACATGTCCATCTTTACCCTTGTTTCGAGATCAATTGGATCTCCCCGTCATGCTAATGCTTACTTTGCTTATGGATCTTGTGGAAATGGGCTGTCTTCTTTTTTTTTGACTCTTGCTGGTCTCTCTCCGTGTATTTTTGGTGCTTGGGTATGGTGTTTTGGAAAATTGAGGTTATTTGTTTTTATATGTGGATTCATTTTGTCAATTGTAAGGCAGTTTTTTTGCCTTTAGGTTTGCCTTTAGGTAGTGGGATTTGAATGTCACTGCTCTTCTGTGGATATCCATCTCTTCTATAATCTACAATGTTGATGCTATCCCCATCTACGCCTAGTATATAGCTATCTACATAAGCTGGAGTAAATCCACAACACACCCACCCGTCACTTTCGATACACCTACTACCTCCATTACAAGTATTCGAATGAACTAGATTTCCAAATATCTAAATAAGGTTATTTGTATTTCTCAAAAAAGGTATTTGGTGGAAGTGGATCGCCGGGCTGACAGGTTCCATGGATGAATATATCTCCACATTCCATCCACCCCGACATTCCTAGGAATACCCACGTTATTCAACCATGGCATGCCATTGGGGTTTAATTTGACCTCGATTGAAGTATACAAGAACTCGAAAATATGCAATAAGTACTATATTGTCAATATAGCTCGTGGTTGGGTCAATTGGCCGACTAGACGTTGTGGTGCTGGAATGGAGAAGCTGGATACTGGACACCCGCAAACTAATTACAGTCCACACCAGCGACGGGACTTTGGAATACATGACGAACTAGACTCGAACAGTATATTGTAACGAACGAGAAATCTAAACCTTGCTAGAATAGAAAGTGGCGACTTTTTGTATGACAACAGGCTGTGTGACTTGGACTTGGGCAGCGAGACATGGCTGGATTGCCTCACCATCACCAAGTCCTGCCCAAACCATCATCCACCGTCTCCACCAGCCTACATATCCATCTCCACTACGTATGGTATTCTTCAAAACAAAACAAGATCAGAACAAAACAAAGACAGCTTCATTTACAGGAACTTGAGTAGGTCAGACTTATCGTATTATGACAGCTTAGGTACACAGAGATAGATAGGAAGTCCATCACATTTTCAACACAGTAAGCTCAACTAATAAATCACAACCGTAGGGCATATGGAGAGAGATCATCAGACAAAGGAAATAAGATAACAAAAAAATAAATCACACAAGGGAATATTCATCACGCCATGGCCATCACCATCGAACTCCAGACCCAAACCCCAATGCCACACCTTCCCCATCTAAGACATTACAAGGGGAAAAGGTAAAGACAAAAGGGGACGACAAGGTATGAAGTCAACAGCAAGCCAGACCCATCAAGATCTAGACAGCAACCCAAAAGTCCAAAGAGACAGGAGCAAATGATTTACAGACGGGAGCCGTGGATGACCTTGAAGTCGACGACGAGCTCACGGCCACCGTCGTTGATGACGAGGGCACGGACGGAGCCACGGCCGTCGGCAAAGGCATCGCGGATGCGCTTGAACAGGTGACCCTGGGAGATGACGGGGAGACCCTGCTTGACATCACCAGTCTCGGTCATGGCGACGAGCTTGCCGTCATCACGGAGGTCGAGGATGCGGTAGGTCTTGTAGACAGGGCCGAGCATGGTCTGAACGACCACGGAGGGGGAGGGGTTGGAGACGAAGCTCGACTCCTCCTGCAGCTGGCGGGTGAACAGGTCGACACCGAGGTAACGGTGCTGGCCGGTCTGGGGGGAGACCGAGATGCGGATGACCTGGCAGGGACGACCCTGGAGGATCAGGATGTCACCGATGCGGACAAAGTGGCAGGGGATGGGGACGGTCTCGCCGGCGGTGCCGCGGTTGCGGGGCTCCACAATGCGGACCTCCTCACGGACGCCATCGCTGAATCGGGCGGGGCCGCGCTCGTCACCGACAACAACCTCCTCACGCTCGTGGTGGTGGAAGGGGTGCAGGACACGATCGGCAGCACGCTCAACGCCGCGGCGGAAGGAGTGGTAGTGACCTTCGTCGTCGTAGTAGCCCATCTTGCGAGATGTGGGAGTTACGTTACGGACAGTAGTAGTCTCGACCTTGATGTCGGCCTTGGGGGCAGAAGAAGAGTAGGTGGTAGAGGTAGAAGGCTGCTGGAGTTCGACCTCGCGACGGGAATACTCTTGGCCTCGGTACGCAGAAGCGGGCTGAGGTTGGTAAGACCGGTCGTACGAAACGTCGACGGACTGAGTGGGCTGGTAGTCGTAGGAGGTGGTAGGCTCCTGGTAGCGACGGTCGTAAGAGACGTCGACTTCGTAAGTGGGAGAGGTCCGGCGACGGTACTCTCTCTCAGTGATGTCGAGTTGGTTCTCGACGGCCTGGTCGTAAACTTGGGGACGTTCCTCGAAACGGACAGAGGATTCGCGGTAGTTGGGGTAGCTATAGGAGAAGAAGAGAAGAAGAGAGAAGAAAGAGTCAGCCCGAGGTGTTCCCCATAATAAAAAGGGTAAAAAGAAAAAAAAGGAAGTTGTAAACATATAAACAAAAACACGAGCTCCGTCACCGCTCATTGGGGGAAGTGGAGCCTGGTATTATCGTGACGGAGACACGTAATTTTGCAGTCTGGGGCTAAATCTGGAACCACTAAACACTCTAGACCGGGATGGGACATCCGAGTGCAAATAGTGGCTCCACATCAATAGCAGCCCAGCCAACCCCCCCAATTCGCAATTCGCCAATTGGGAGATTCGAGGGAAAACAAGAAAACAAAACAAAACAGAAACAGAAACAAATCCACAAGGAAATCCTGGACGTACCGTTCACGGGTCAGATCAACCTCGGCAGCGTAGTTGCGAGTCTCGTGAGATTCGTAACGGGGAGCGTAGTTGGCGCTGGTGTGGTGATTGACAGTCGCGTTGCGATCTTCGTGAGTGATGCGGAAATCGACTTCTTCCTTTCCGTAGACACGAGGGTCGGGGAGAGTGGCAGAGGCTCGAGTATCTTCCCGTTCGACGCGCGAAGTGGTATCGAGTTGGACTTCTCCCTCTACTCTCGTCTGAGTAGTTTCAGAGACAGCGTCACTCCGGTACGACGACGGGAAGACACTGAAGGGGATGGGGACGCGGGCGTCAAAGTCCAGATTGACGGACTGTACGGCGTCCTTTCTCGAATGCCTTTCGAACTGTTAAAAACAACTCGAAAGGTAGACAAGAAAAGACTTGACTGGGGGAAGTCTTTCTCGGAGAGAAGAGAATTGGAGAGAAGAGGTTAAGATCTGGGGAGATCTAAGCTTTTCTGAAAGGTATGGAGGGGGGTAGCAAAGAATGCTGGGGGATGGGAATGGAAGGGTGGATAGAAGAGAGGATGAAGTTTCGGGGAATGGAAGAAGAGAAGGGGAAAGGACCAGGGAGGAGATGAGTGGGAGTGGAGGTTGGCTTATTTATCTCTGGTGGTTGGTTGACTTGGTTGGTTCTGTTTGTTTACTTGGGAGTCCGCCCTTTACTCTGACCCAATCGAGAGCCGATCGACCGCCCGAGGTTCATCTTTGGTTCCAGGGGACTAGCTACATAAGAATAGAGTATCATTTGACTATCGGGATTATAATTCAACTCTGGTGGGAAGAGGGGTGTTTTGGAGCACACTTTTCTCTTGTGATCAAGCGATCGCTAATCTATACGGAGTCATAATGATTATTGACCATAGTTATTTGTTCTTGACCGCTCGGGGGCAAATGTGGGTTTAGCTGGGGGCATTCATATTCTGTACAGATTGTACACATACGTACGGACTACTGCATACATATGTATGTACTGTACTGGAGTCTACTGTCAATCACCAATTGTACTCTGTACTCCGTACTTTGGGCTGAAAAAAGAAATCATCTCTACTTTCACATGGAGGCTGGCCAGCCCCAATTATCCCTAGGACCCCAGCTTGATCCTGAGCTCCTCTTTTTTAGCTCCTCCTCAGCTCCCATGGAAACAGCCTCCATTGCCATGGCAACGGCCACGGACCCGCGGGTCGAATCGGAAAAATCGGGGGCTGATCGCTGAGCTCCACCGGTTATCTATCAGGGACGCGTTGGAGTTTGTTGTGATCCATATGATTGTGATGCCGTCATCGGGATAGGAATTGACCTCGGAAGAGATAATCAGGCATTGACAACTATTAGGGACACTCTCTGCTTTAAATACTCCGTAAAGGAATCAGGAATCAAAGTACTGTATGAAATAAATAGCTCGAACAGCTGCACTGGCCAACCCACAGCTCAGCTTTTTTCCTACGTGTCAACTCTAAGCTGTAAGCTGTGTATCGCTGTATTTCTGATCTGTTCGCTGTATGGCCTATCGCGGTCTCCATCGGTGGAGCCCAAACAACACAGCACAGTCGTGTCCGACTCTGATCACAACAATAATCGCCATCTTCTCCGTACTCCGCGTACTTTCTGTCCATGGGACCCCATCCTCTCCGGACACAGCCGTGCTTTCGAGTCCACTCTGCAATTGAATCAATTGATCCTCTCCATCTCTCCCCAGCCCAACCAGCTTACCAGCCCCTTGAATAACACCCAATTGCATCAGATAGCACCCAATGCCACTCAATCACGCCTAACCCATACCCAATCACACTCCCAAGACTCCCCGTTTCAGGGAAAATCAACAATCGGGCAATCCTGCAGGCATCTAGACCTCCTCATGTAGTGGCGCTACACATACACACATACGGACATCCTCCATAATAATTACAGTACATACAATACTAGTCCCGTCCCACACATGCAATACAGCATTAATAATTTACAAATACCGAGGCTGGGAAAAAAACAAGTCTCGTCTCGTCTCGGCACAGATTGAGGGCGTGGCATCGCCTCATCGTATCACAGGTTGAGCGAATCTTGGGTCACACAGGCGAGCTGAAGAGCGTGTGGCTGGAGGGGGGATTTCACCTTTTCAGGGTTTGGTTGGTGGGTTGTTGGGGGATCGGGTCCACTGAGCTCCACTTTGTGAATCGCTCATCACCTTGGTGGATCATCCTCGGTGCGTGCAGCTGGGAGGTCCTGGGCGGCACTGCGGGCGCTTGTGAGGAGAAGAAGCACGGGCTGGGCTGGTTGCTAGGCTGTTGTTATGGGAGATAATAATGCGTTCCTTCTTGGCTCCCATGAGCTACATAGTTCTTTGGTGTTGAGGAGGGCTTCATGACGACGACCGAGTCCATCTGCGTAGAGATGGGTCCTTATCATAGAAATAATTATTGTGGGCTCCAATGGCAGGATAGTGTATTCGCGTTCGGCCATCTGTACGGAGTATACGCAATGGACACTGCATAAGCCACGCAAATCAAACAATTACGGAAATCAATTATATCCCATTCTTAGATTTACCGAAGAAAGAAGATCGCAATCGCAGCGCGAGAATGTTTCAATTACCTGCCCCAGATCCAATTACATCTATGGATAATGTCTAAGAGAACAAAAGAGAAAGCATTGCAACAACATGGCTCCACACGACCACAAGACCTCAACGAGGGACAAATCGTACATGATAAATGAACCAAAACCAGAATGAAGGTGATTCCAGGTTCAGACTCATGGTCAGAAGAGAAACGAGGGTATCAAATGTATATAGTACGGAAACTCCTTCCCAGCACGAGAATGAAGGATCCAGCATAACGCCAGCGGGGGTAGGGATCTGGCTTGAAAAGAGGTGTAGATAGACATGATACGACGTCCATGAATACCATCTATTCAGTCCAGACTCCATCTGCCACTCCGAATAAAATCAAAGAACGAGTGTAATAGTAAACAAGAGTGGTCGGTCGTGGACAAGACAGAACAAGACAATACACAAATACATACAAGACACACTCACAGGTGACAGGCATATATCAATCATTAAGATTAGATCCACTCGGGAGAAATGGATGCCCTTGGGGCAGTAATACCAAACCACGGCTGAAAATCCAGGGCTGGCAGACAAAGAAGAATTGACACAGAAAGATAAAGAAAGAAGGCGAGGCATTAAACGTGTACGGTGAGAACGACTCCACCATAATGCTTCTCGAGAAGTGAAAGTGAAGAAGAAAAGAAGAAGAGGAAACAAATTGGAAAAGAAAAAGAGCAAGGCCTCAAGAAATTAAACTGGTCATTTTCGTAGACCAAAGGCCTTTCGCAAAAGTGGGAATCGTTTCTTGCGTCCAGAACCAGCAATCACCACGTCGCGTGCTGACAGGCCCGGTTCCTCAGCTGTAGTATTTGTGATATCTGAGCGAGCATCATTAATATCGAGTCCAGCCTGACCAGCCTGGCCAGCTTGGGGAAGCTCGGGTTCCTCTTTGATAGTCGAGATGGCTCCAGCTCCTTCGCCACCGTTGGCTGTGATGCTGCCGTTGCGCTCGGCATTAGCCGCCGGCGGCCCGGCTTTGCTTGTCTGCAGGGGAGACGAGGGGAGGCTCTGGCTGTGCGAGGGGATTGGTTCGGGCGTCTCATTTCTTGGCTCCGTACGAAGAGGCCAGTGTTCACCACCGGTGGTGTTTCGCTTGGATAGTCGCCGGCCGAGCTTGCGTGGGGAAGTTGGTTCAGGCGGGTCTGCACTCACGGTGGTTACCACTCGGTCCTCGTTCACCCCGTTCGTGAAGGGTTCTCCACGCAATTGTTCGCGTTCCAGCCGCGATCGCTCTAGCGGGGTATCTCTTCGAGAGGGACTTTCAACATCGGCCTTGCGGATACGATGATCAGGATTCTTGGACTTCTTCAGACCCAGGCGAGTGAGGAGACCGGGTTTCCGACCTCTAGGAGGCTGCATGATGAACTCCTCTAGTTCTCGTTGGGTCATTCCACGCTGTTTGGCTACTGCCGCAAATCCAGACATATTGGGGCTGTTCTTATCCCGAGAACCAGGGGGCACGAGGTTTGACTGACGTGCAGACACTGCTGCGGCCTGTCGACGTTCCTCTTCCGAGCTATCATCCAGGTCGGTCGAGTCTCCGTCGTGGATGCCTTGTCGTCGAGGAATACCACGAACAGGTCGCATGGTATTGCTGCCGGGCTCATCTTCATCACTAGAGTCCGCGAATCGGCTGCGGAAGCCCTGGGCGGGTGCCTCATTGCCCTCCCCGTCAGAATCCACAAAGCGCGAGCCTCGCATCGACTTAGGGGGTGCCTTGGTAAACTTCGCCCGAGGGGCTTTATTGTTAGTTGAGAAGAATGAATATCGCTCGTTTCCAGCGCCAGGGCTTCGTAATGTCTTTCGCAAAGTCCCGGCCCCCGAGCCGGAGGAAAGCGGTCGATGATCTTCAGGAGAGTCTGCACGACCCGAGAAAGAGGACTGTTGGGGTTGTGTGGAACTGCCTCTCATGGTCCGACGCATCGAGAAAGGACCATCGCTGCGGGTAGAATGGCTGGAGCGCTTGAAGCTGCTGGAAGAGTCGCTACCATTTGACATGGTCCGTCCAAGGGATTCCGGGATTCCGGGCGAGGTACCATTGGGCTTCTTCATTTGGAATGGCGCCCCAAGAGACACTGGTCGGTTCTTGCCCTTGGCATCGGTGGAAAGGGTGTGAGGATCCCGTAGGTGAGAGTCACCACCGATTGCCAAAGACAAGGGCCGACGTTGCTTGTTGACGGCTGTTTGGCCCGTTCCATCGTGATCAGATGAAGCTCGAAGCTTCGACTTGAGCGGCAGTGGAGGATATGCTGACTCGAAACCCCGATTGGACGAAGGAGTGATAGGGGACTCGCTTATCTCGAGATTAACAGAGTCCTGAGTCGGAGTGATAGAACGAGGGTCTTCGCGTGCTTGGTCTGTGACATCTTGCGAATGATTGTCAATGGCGGTAATTCGGTCAGCTGCCTTGGGAGTGGCATCACGACTTTGACTGGGAGACCCTGTCGAACGAGGGATTGGTCCACTGTCGACAATGGCATTGATGGAACCAAAACCATCACCGTCAATGTCCTCAGCAGCATCACTGTAGACACTATCACCCGACTCGCCTTCGGTATCCACGTCATCCAAATGTGGCACAGCGGTAGCGATGGGTTGCGACTTTGTAGTATCTGTAGAACCCGTAGTGGCTGCACCTTTGAGATTGCGGTCGGAGCTCGACGGAGGGTAGCCTCCAGGTATACGGCATTCCAGACTGGACCGCTGCCCGAAAATTGGCTGGTCACTGTCTACAGGAGGTGTAGCCGGCTCAATAGCGATAGCAGGCACAAGCAGATCGGCATGTGCATTCACACTCGAGGATGGTGGCTGCTCAGTGATATTCCCAAGAGCGACACCATCCAGCTCGTGCTCGTGCTCAGGCTCGGGCTTAGGCTGTTGCTGATAAAGCGACGAGGCCCCAGTGACAGAAAGTTGTTCCAAGGTTGTGACAGCGTTGGGCTGTGTAGGTTCCTTTTGCTGAACCATAGGCAGCATGCCTCCAAGGGCATGGTCATTGGAGAATGATAACCCGGGAGAGACAATGTCGTTGTCCGAGGAGCTCGTCGACTCGTTGTCACTGAACTCTGGAATTGCCGGTGCTGGATGTCCACCGTCTCGATTGCCCCTGACGCTGCCAAACGACGGGAGTGCCGGTCTCGGCCTCATGACTTCGTCAAAGTCGTGGTCCCCGGTCACATAGTCTAATGGTGACACCCGCTTCTTACCCACACCCAACCAGCTCATGCGAGACTTGCCCTTGTTTGGCGGCGATTCTGGCACGTATTCCTCTGGAGAAGTGGGAGGACTAGCCGCGACGCCAACAACCTCGGCATCATCATCAAAGCTCACTTTCACCGGTCGTTTCTTCACACCAAGTCGAGAGCCCTCGTCTGAAGCGACTGAAGTACCATCCGAAATTTCGCTGGGTGGTTGCACGACACGACCACCGATGCTAACCTTTCGGTCTGGAGACAATGAATTCCCGCGAGGGTGTTTCAAAGCCGACTTAATAGGAGAAATAGATCGAGGTGGTGGCTCGTGAACTTGATCGCCAGCAGCAGTCACGGAAAGCCATTTGGCGAAACGGGCCGAACGGCCGGGACTGCTGGACTGATGAAGATGATCTTGCTGCGGTGTGGTGTCTCTTGAGGCTTTCGGGGATGGCTGAGGGGAGGGCTGCGGCGTGGACACTACCTCTCTGTGATCAACTGCAGGAGATGCGCTGGCCCACCGTCTCCCTGGATGTTGGGTGGTAGAAACACTGGCGTCTACCTCCTCCTTCGGCTCAGTCTCCTCATGTACGGTGGAGGGCCATCGCTCGAGCCCAGCTCGAGAAGACGGTTGCTCGCTCCCTGACCCACTATCTACAAGTGGAACTGAGCGATCAATACGCTGTTCCCGTGAGCCAGTGGCCTGTGTCCCTTGCTCTACTCGCTCTGCCTTGGCATGGCCGGTATCCGCTCGCGGGCTGTTTTTCTGCAGGCTCAATGTAGCAGCAGCTAGAGCGGTACCAGCCGCAATGCCTGCGGCTTTGAGTGCAGGGTTCTCTTCCGCGTTTCCAGCCGCGGAAACCCTGCTTTTCGTATTGCCCGACCTCTCAGGGACAGTCTGCCGCGCAGCAGATCCCTCGTCTGGCGACTCGCGAACCGAAGCCGGGTCCAGAGTCATCGTACGATTCTCTACAGGTGACGTCGGTGAGATTGGCCGTGAACCCATCGGATAGGAGAAATTGATCGAATTTCGGCTGCTCGGTCGGTCGTTCTCTGGTACTGTGCCTAAACTGGCAATTCGGTTGTGTGTCGGGCTACCAGGCTGCCCTCGATCCACGCCCGTAGGTGCTCCGGACCGTCGCGGAGATGCTGGAGGCGACCTCATGGACGGCTCCATACTGACAGCACGTCGACCCGAGCCATTTTGTGGGACAAATTTAGTTGGCAGAGATGGCAGCGGGGGCACATCGATGGGGGAGTGACGTCTATCTCCAGGGCCGGAGCTGGTGGATGGGCGATGAGGCGACGGCTCGCGAAATGTCCTTGCGGTCATGGAACTTGAGCTATTCGATCGGCGCAGAGGGCCATTTACACTGGCCGAGCGACGCCCAGTCGGCAAATTGGTTGGCGACTGTGTTGAGACCCGCCGCTGGACCATCCGCTTCGTCTGGACATTTTCCACCGGTGTTGGGGTTGGCGTGAGATTGCGCAGAGCAGCAGCGGCAGCCGCGGAAGAAAGACTATTGGAGGAAGGTTGGGATTTTAAGAATGCATGGCTGGCGGCAGATTGTGCAGATTGAGATGCAGGTCCGGATAGTGGCTATAGAACAACACGGAGAACTAGTTAGTCTTTATCTGGGCAGCAATCCATTGCCTAAGAGATCGGCATCATGTTGCAGGATGAACGAAGTGTATATTCCATCACATCTAGATAATGGCTCGGGCTTTCCGCAGGGAACGCACCTGGCGATGGGAAGAGCTTCTGCTTCTTTTGCGACGGTTAAACATGGTTGCTTAGGCTCCCAATTGCACGAGGTATGAACGAAAGTCGGATAGCCGACCGGACACTGCGCAAAGCAGCGCCGGGGTCCGAGTAGATGGGGGTAGATTCGAGCTAGCAGGCGTAGCAGATTTGACGATAGAAGGCCCTGGGATAATGCGACGCGAAGCAGCGACAGATAGGATCAAGCGGGAGCACGAGAGAAAAAAGGCCGGACAGGGCGCATAAGGTCGGAACGAACGGGGGTCAAGGAGCGAGAGTAAGCCAGGGGGGATTGGGAGGGTGGTAGGGCAGGTTAGAAGATTGAGTCAGGATTTGATGGCTGGGAATAGAGATTGAGAAAGGCCCTTGGGGATGAAGTAAAAGAAAGTTGAATGTTACATGCGGAGGATCAGGACTGGAGGTTGGAGATTCGGTCGGGTGAGGAAAACTTGCGTCATGACTGGCCTCAGGTACCCGTTGACTACTTGGCACCGTCCTGGGGTACATCAACGAAGTATATTGATGGATAGTATGCTAGTCTATTATTATTTAGATTAATTGGATATCTATATAGCTAGAAATGTTTGACAGTGTAGCCTATGACTATTCCTCCAGCAGTATCTCAGAAGTTCAATTGAATTTTTCGTTGCGAGGGTCTAGCTTGAAGGTGCCACTGTATGACGAAGGACTCGAGTTTGGTACAGACTCCGAGTGAACCAGTAGTCTGGAGAAGTTTAGCGGGTGAATATTTCCACTGTGAACCTGACTGAACCTAGGTTCACTTAAGGGACTAGGGGGACTAGACTAGGGGATATGCACTCTGACAGTACTTGTTCAAACAGGCTGATATTTCCCCCGAACTCCTCTTTGATCGGCAATAAATGGTTTCTCCTACCCAGAAACCAACTCCTCTTAAAGGAACCCGATTCTATCTAGTCAAGCCCTATGATCTCTCATTATCAGTCTCTATTTACATCATTCTTCCATGACTAGCCTATTAATACATCGATTCTCTCTCCACACTTACACGATCCAGCCCAGTCCCAGCAATCCGGTAACTATTTCCAAGATTGGTCCCAGCATCCAGCCCCCAGCCCCAATCAACCCACACTCCACCATGTCGTCCCTGGATGCCACTCCCTCGACTCCCTCACAGCCACTGCCCCTCCCAGCCGGCGTCTCCAGTCGCCTAATCGAGACGCGCGATCTCACTTTCCACATTCTCGAGGCGGGCGCCACTCCCGCCCATGATCGCCCGTTGATTGTTCTCCTGCATGGTTTTCCTGAAATCGCCTATTCATGGCGTCGAGTCCTGCCCCAGCTTGCAGCTGCGGGCTTCCACGCGGTCGCTCCTGATCAGCGCGGGTTCGGCCGAACCACGGGCTGGGATACGCGGGCGTATGAGGATGTAGATCTGACGACTTTTTCGATGACTGAGCTGGTCCGGGATATCGTCATTCTTGTACATGCTTTGGGATATCGCGAAGTGCAGTGCGTTGCTGGTCATGACTGTGGTGCCATGACGGCTGCTACCTGTGCCTTGATACGCCCGGATTTCTTCCGTAGTGTGGTGCTGATGAGCCACCCTTTCAATGGCAGTCCCACCTTGCCCTTCAATACTGCTAATGAAGGCACTGTGGAGGAACAGCGTGAGGCTGCTGCGAGAGGGGGAGGCGGCGGTACGGAGGGATCTGCGGCTGCTTTGGGGATCCATGAAGCTCTGGCTCAACATGGCCGCAAGCACTATAAATGGTACTATTCGACGCCCCAGGCGAGTCCAGACATGTCCACGTTATCTCGTGATGAAATGCACCACTTCCTGCGTGGGTATTTCCATCTCAAGAGCGGATCCTGGGCGGGGAACCAGCCGCATCCGTTGAAGAGCTGGACTGCAGATGAAATAGTTCAGATGCCGGGCTACTATATCATGCCATTAGACGCTACCATGCCAGAGACTGTGGAGAGAGACATGAAAGATGAGCCAACACAGGGACAAAGCTCTTATTCCTGGCTCCCAGATGATGAACTTGCTGTTTACGCAGGCGAGTATGTTCGGACCGGCTTCCAAGGAGGCTTGAATTGGTACCGTGTGCGCACTGCTCCAGATGGTCGATATACGCGAGACTATGATACCTTTGCCGGTAAGAAGATTGAGTGTCCATGCGCATTCGTCTCTGGCAAGCAGGATTGGGGTATCTATCAAGAGCCCGGGGCACTGGACAAGATGACCAGCGGTGCAGTTTGTTCCGATTTTCGAATTCTCCGTTTACTCGATGGAGTCGGTCACTGGGTACCCCAGGAAAGCCCAAATGAAGTGGTGCAAACAATACTCGAGTTGGCGGGATTGGACAGGTAGATAGGTACTGGAGTAGAGATCTGTGGGGGTTATACAGTTAAGTGTGGCCAAACAAGGTTTAAACACACTCTATTCCCTATCCCAGGTATCCTAGTCTAGTCTTCTCTCTCCAGGTTGATTATTTAGTTCTTACTATAGAGCTTAACCTAGATAGTTAGAAGATTATTCCAAACAACCTCATACGGTTCCTTGAAAATTTTATACGACGAGTGGAAGAACTAAGTAATCTTCCTCGTCAAACAAAGAGGTATTGTATAGTTGTATAGTTAAAATCCTGGAATAGACCCTAGTATAAAAGAGTGATAAACGAAGCGCGCAAGGCTGACTGCGCAAATAATGAATCAATTAGTGTAATTATTGCACTCCAACCCCAACGTGGGTAGAAATGAGGCCAAAAAATATTTGTAACCACGCTGCGCTACGTCGGGTGGTAACGAGCTCAGCAGTGTCACAAATTAGGTCAGCGTGGTTAGGAATTTAACATCAAAATTGTGACCCCGCTCAACATCTTCTAACCACGCTCAACAAAATCCTACCGCCAGAACGTCTATACAGTACAAGGCAGCCCAAAACAAAGGCAGAGGAACTGCATATGCTTATCTTAACACTCAATGGATTCTAAGAGCAATTGGCAATAATCTGGTTCAACTAATCGACTTATCTTCCATGAAGTTCGAGGGAAGTAGAATAGTAAACGAAAAAAGGATAAACAATGCATTAACTTTCTACCCAGGTTGCTTTTGGAGCTCAATGTGGGTAGAAACTGTGGAAAATTCCTAACCAAGCTCAACTGAATTCCCGAACCTAAAGTTTGTCTCAACCGCGACTTTTTTTCGATGTACAGGTGAAGCGAGGAACAAGGTACAAACTTCCAAGCAAGTATTGTGTATCAACGGCTCATCTCTTCTCTCCACCGGCCTTCTCCTGACAGAACCCAATCCTCTGGCAATTTTTTATCATCATCCCCTTGCATTCCTTCAACTCACACAATTCACGCCTACATCATGTAATCACCAACGACAACACCCAGCCTGACTGTGCCTCTCAAAAACCCTCGCGCCATGTCTGCAAATCATTGTACGCTGGCCCTACCTTACTCGAGATTGTGACAACCAACCTGACTGACCATGCTCCAGCCTATCACCAGCTTCGAATCCCAGCCGATGCTCCCTTTGAACTCAAACCATCACCAGGCAAAGGATGGGGTGGGTTTGCCACGCGCCATATCACGCAGGGATCAAGTGATCCTCCGCGAAAAGGCACTTTTCACGATCCCGAAACCAAATAGATTCGACGTCACGGATGAAGACGCCCTCAAATGCTTGAAAGATGCGCCTCCCGATGGAGTTTCACAATTCCTACTCTTGAAGAGCAATGCAGAATGGGGATTCTCTGATTTAACTCATGCATTTCTGTCCAACCACTTTACACTAGTGCTCCCAGGCGAGCTCAAGCCGCATCACAACACAGATGTGAACGAGGAGAGTCCCACATTTGACGGAGAGGGACCGCCAACCCCGGAAGGGGCTTTTGATCTTGAAAATGAGGGTTAGTTGCATCCACACTTTCCCGCTTTTCTCCTTGAGACACAGCTAACTGTGTAATTGAAGCCCAGGGGAGAGCTTCTAGATGGGAACGCTCTCGCGGGCCTTGAGCTCCTCCACACCGTCTCTTTCACGATAAAGGACCACTCTAACTTAGTTTCGATAATGCAGGCTGCGCTCACCGTGCACCCAGACTGGTTTCTCGGAGACCACGTTTTAGGCGGCGCAGCACAGCGAGAGCGGCGCACGGAAGCTTGTTCTGATCAGGATCTAAAGTAGAAAAAAAAGCGGCGGGACCCGTTACCATTTCAGGGGATAAAGTACTGGATCCAGGAGGGATGTATCCCCACTAGCATGGACACTGATATGGGGAGGAACGTATAGTAATATACTCGGAACCTGGATTACTGGATACATGGCGGAGGATGGGCTCCACCACTAGGGATACGTGATGTGGGATGCGGCGCGACTGGAGCGTACGGGCGCAAAGGAGGCCCTGGCAAGGCAATGGACCGCGCAATGAGGAGAGGAGGATCCAAGGGATCATGTGTACTAGGAGTTATCTAATAGGTAAAACGAAATACAAATGAGTAACCAAGCTGAGATTTTCTTCCCCTTCGAACAAGTTGCACTCGCCAGGCGGGTTGTGATAGTCGAATCGGCGGTACAGCGTACTGAAGCCGGAGTTGATTATCTCAATATCAAGAACTTTGAACTAAGTATGAGCAACCAGTCATTCCTGTAACCTTTAGACGGACAGTGTTCAGGCGCATGGCTGCCGTGGGGAACCTGACTACAATAAGGAAGAACCGTACCAGTCAAGCGTCAACAAGACCTAACTAATACCTGTTAAATATCTCGGGCTACCTGAATTCAACGTCTCAAGTTTACAAGAGGATGCCATTTTCGGTGTCGATTTCACATGTCCCTATATTCTAGGCCTAATATTACCATCGTTCGCCCTCAGGTCGTGAAAAGAAAGAGTGCCGTGGCTTTCTACTTGTTTGACTCGGAGACTGTGGAATAAATGGCCCTCTTGAGCAATACACTTCTTCTTTGGGCCTTATGGTGAGATAAGAGCCCTATGTTTAGTACTATCAAACTTCAATTCCTCCAAACCAAACATTACCTACACCGGAGAGCCATAGCCATAGGATCATGAATTTCAACGTAAGTGAGGCATTCCGATTCTTAGGTTATTCACCGGAGATTATCTAGTTGCAATCTTCCTGAGTTGAGATCTTTCCTTTTCACTCACCAATCTTCAGATTACATTTACGGTGTATAGATCTTCCAAAACCTTTGGCATGCCTAATTTTCCTCCGGTCAAGCGATAAATATAACAAGAAAACCTTTGATCTTCATATGAAACAATAATACTAGTCACCCAAAACACCACCAAATTCCAAGATCCCCTTAGAGTAAGCGCAACGTGCAAGCATCCAAAATATGATCAATCTCCAACGACGGAGCAGCATATCAAGTTGTCAATTCAAAATTTTATCGCAGCAATCATTCCAGTGACAAAATAGGGTATGTTCAAAAGGCAAAAAAGCAACAAGCGCACGTAAATGCATCACATCAGAAGCGAAATCTCTACAAAAACGCAGCCACTAGTAGAACTGGCACAACTGCAAGCCACACCTGTCGTGGGGGTTGCAGCATCGCTGCGCCAGACCCAATGCCCGAGGTCGTGTACACGTACTGGAAGCTGATATCGCTAGAGTTGAAGCAATTATCAGCGTTGACTTCGGCGATCTTGGAGTCTCCGTTGTCGGCGAAGATAATGTCGACGCACTGCGGAAATCGAGGTTAATACACGCTATCCAAAGATTATAAGTCTTGTTTGAGGAAAAACATACATTATACAATGCAGCGCCGTGCTTCGCAGTCTCCACCACTTGAATCGTAGCCTTGTCACCGGCCTTGACACTGATATTAGCAGGCAGAGGCACCTGCGGCAGACAAATCGTTCCTGGGTAGGGATTGTTCGTGGGACCGGTGATCTGGAACGGCGACACAACCGGGTGGCTCATGTTCTCGGGGACCTCACCGAGACCAATGTTGACGTAGATCAAGGCCGTCGAATGGCCCGGGAACCAGCCAGGCTGAAGAGCGAGAGCACCGCCACCGACGGGCCAGTAGGTGCGGTTCGTAGAGGTTGGCATGCCACCACCTGAAGAGAGGGAATGATTGTTAGTTATCGCTCTGAGTCGGTTGGGACTCATGATTGCGGGATGCTTACAGGGGTAAATCCATTCCATGCCGTAGGGGTAGTAAAGGGAATCATTTTTCGAATTGTATGCGACACCGAGTCCGTTGGCTTCTGCGACGGTACCGTTGGTCTGCAGATTATTCCCTCGATAGCCGGGATAGGTGATAACGGTGTGGGCGTGGGCGACTGTTGCCCATAGCAGAACGATCAGAGTCGCCCATCGCGATGATAATTGTTGCAAAACCATTTTGAATATGAATTTTTTGATTTTGTTCGAGTCGATCTCCGCACGATGTCGACACAAGAATGAGGAGCAAGAAAAACACAAGCCAGTTGCTTATCGTGACGCTGAACGTCGTCTCGGCTCCGAATCCGAGTTTCTGTTTAATTGCTGTTCCGAAGCGAAGATGCACAATGGAGCATGGAATTCAATCCAGCGCAGCTGTAAAAGAAGCTCGACCAAGAACCAAGCCACGGACAGCGGTCGAGGGCCGATCGGGCTCTTTTTGAGGGGCTTCGACCATAGGGTAGGGTGCAGCCATGGTGCGGACAAGTCAGGATGCAGGACCCGGATGTGACAGCGACTGCAGCTTGCACAGGATCTGAGTGGACGAGAGAGGGGATGCGGAGCACCGCTGGACCAGGATGCTTTAGTACTACTGGGGATCATCACGCTCTTCTGCAAGTGCCATCACTGTGTTCTGGGATGTGATTGGCGGGGCGCCCACTGCTGGAAGCGCCGAGGGGCGACGCTAATGGCGCAGTTGTGAGGGGAAGGGGTGCTGAGGAGGTGGTCTTTGGCGCTTATGTTGGGACTTGTGGTGTGATGGAGGATGAAGGATGATTAAGCGGGTTGGCTTTACTGTGACATGATTCTTGCTAGAGGTGAAGTGGTGATGTTGCTGGATAAAGTGTGGAGATCAAGAATAAAGTACGAAGTGTAGTTGAACTATGTACTTACACTGCAGGTAGGCCACGATGATCAGTCGCTTGAATTGGAGTAAGCCACGTTCAGGGATCTGATGACTATTGGCTCTATGCTCTAGATATTGCACTCAGAGAGCGTACGAACCACCTCTACCAACGAGAAGAACGGATCAATGCCCATACTACTCAAGCAGTAGTTCATTTCTATACAATTTCAAGTGGAGGCCGACCGTGGGGCCGATGATTTACCACGGCCAGGAACCGTTCGTTTGTCAGTAAAGAGGACAAACTCTTGTCATCCATCAATCCTAAAGCTATTAAGGAAATCTGATTATGCTCATCTGATAATCTGACCTAACAATAACTATTCTGTCAGTACTCTGGCATGCTGACTAGTTATCTTTGCCTATTCCAATCCTTTTACAGTAGAAAGTATCCTGGATCAACAAACAGCTGACTAACTCTAGCTTATCGATAACAGATAATCGATACCCCCAATCAGCAATCGATAAGCGATAAGCGATAAGCCCATCAAAAAAAGAAATCCACCAACCCCCACCATTACCATTCAAGACATCCAACCTACTTCCTCAAAGTATAACACAACACCAATTGACCCCTTACAAAACAATGCCACACACATCTCGCAAAAACCGCCCCACTGCCTCAACCCAAAAACGCACCCAAGTCACCGACGATGACGGCTGGACCCACGTCACATCCAGCAACAACGTCCGGCGCGTACTACGCGGGACCCGCACAAAGACTAGCAATGAGCAGGACTCCAATGCTCAGCCGATAGTACAAGATTCCTCCGAAACCAATGCGCCAGAAGCCGAGCTAGTCCTCGGTCCCGCCGAAGCACCGGGACGATTAACACTTGAAGAGCTGCAGGCGCAGTATCAAGGGTATCGTGAGAAGTGGATAACCTCGGAGACGTGGACGCGATTAGAGGCGCAACTCAAGGAGAGGAATGTATCTGTATCTGCATCTATAGACGCTGTTGTATGCGTTGGACTTGGTAGTCCGAGTGGATTCCTGCGTGGAGGGTGGGTTGATCGACGAGTTGTTTCTATGTATCAACTTGCGGCGTTGGAGAGTATTGCGGAGTGGATATCGAGTTCGTTTGCCTCTTTCCTATCCTATCCCTTCTTCAGCTTCACACCCTCCCTTCTCTCTTCATACCAATAAACTAACCCATCACCAGAAACCACTACCTCAATCCCAATCTACGCCCAAGACCCAGTCTTCAACACTCTCGACAAATCCCTCCTCGCATCCCTAAACATAACAGTCCTCACCCACCCCGCCGCCTTCACCCTCCTCACAAAGAAAACCCTGCTCTTTTGCCCGGGTGCTGAACGCAAACATCTTGAGCAATTACTCGTGTCCGAACCATGTATGGTGTTTGGGGGGCCGTTGGAGGATACGAATTCGGATGTTATTCAGGGGTTTGTGGGGAGGGTGGGGTCGGTGGTTTTGGGGCCGTTTGAGGGGTGTGAGCATGCTTTTTGGAAGACGAGGGTTTATTTTAGGGAGGAAGAAGATGGGGAGAGGAAGGAGGGGGAGGGGGTGTTAGTGTAGATGTTTGATCGGGTGAATTGGAGGGGTGAGTTGCATTGCATTCCATTTTGCGGAGTTGGGAGTTCCAGGACATTGGACTGTGGATATCGAGGGAGTGGATTATGTATATAAGAATACTACACTCGCCTTGAATATGGGTAACTCATCCATCTCCTCTGTGCTTTAGCCTCATAACGAGGCAAATCTACAGCCCCAAGAAACAAAGATCGACTACAAGATATATCTCTGCAGAAACCCAGACGAAAACTCGGGGTGTGGTCAATATTGATGGCCATATGTACATCGCAAGAACCCAATCAGCACACACAAACAAGAGCAAAACTATAACACACCCTCCCCAAATTCAATGTTCAATGCAAGAGTCATCATCCTGGTTGGATGATGAAAGCGAAGAATACGAGAAACGTAGACTCGAAAAGCGCACTGGATCGCGCACCAAAACGCCAAACAAGAAGAGATGGAATATCAAAAAATGCCATGCCATGCGGAGTAAGTGTTACCCTGCATCAAAGGCATGGAAAACATAACAGGTGTGGACGGTCATATCTCGGTATGACGGGAGTCGATGAATAGAGTGACAATGACAAGTGTAGAGAGGATAACAGGGTCTTCGGGAATCCGAAGGGATAGAAAGAATCGTTATGATAATAGAAACGCCGATAGGGGAATTTGTAAAAGGAGAGACGTGAAATGAGGGACAAGACAAAATATACAGGTAACGGATGCGGGTGAGTGCGAGGTAATTTTCATGATCATGATCCCGTGAAGAAAAAAAGTCAAACAAAAGAGAGCCTACGAGGCAGTCTTGCCACCGCAGTCCGGAATCTTGAGACCTGACTTGATCTTGCGAGCGGAATCCATGAGTCCCCACTTGTCTTCCCACTCTTTACCGGGGGTGTTATACTGGATCTTCCAGGGCTCATCAAAGGCCTCGAACCTGATGTTGCGTTAGCAATAGAAACCGAAATTAATGAGAGTTGCGTGTAGTAGCTTACCAGAAATAGTCCGTGCCGTTCTCCAGAGCCTGGCAGACCCAGTCGGACATGAACTTGTTCATATTGTCGACACTCGCTACGGAGCCCGGGGTATCGGAGTCACAGGTCGGGCTTGATCCACAGTCCTTACCACCTCCGCTGGGCCAGCCCACCTCGGAGATGACTTGCTTCTTGGTAGTTCCCTTGGTCAGGACAACATCATGCGATTGCCAAAAGTCCCAGGTCCACGCTGCGGCGACGTCGACGTCGACGCCAGCGAAGAAGGGATGCACATTGGACATGACCACATCGACGGCGCTGACGAGGTCTGCGTTCCAATTGTCGCCGAGATCAGAGGTAGCCACCTCCATATCATTCAAGTTGCGCTTCTTCAGTTCAGAGGCAACGCCTTTGATGTAGCTGATCAGATTCGTTTCCGCGGACTGCAGGTCACTACCAGCACGGTACAGTGCTTCGTTGCCGACAATCACGCCCTTGAAGATGGATGGATCCTTGGTATCATCAAGAATCTTGTACAGCTGGTCGAGCTGGCGGGTGGTGGTGGTCTCGTTAGTATCGATCCACACACCAAGCCAGACCTTCATATCGGTCAATCCGAGCTGGCTGATCGCATGCAGAGTCATTTCAGTCTGATTGCAGTCCGTTCCGTAGAGGCGCACGGTATTGGTGAGTTGAGAAAGCACGGCCAGATCGCGAGTGACGTTGTTCTGCGAGGGAGGATACTTCAAGCACAGCGGGTACTGAACACCCCAAGGCGTGTAGTCCATACCAGGGAAGACCTTGTGCAAATTGTCGTTATTCAGCAGCGCCTTGATTTCAGCAGAGTTCTTGTTGAGGTCTCCATTCTCCGCCGTATCGCTAGTCGCTGAATTGGCATTTGCTGCTGATGATGATGACGATGATCCACTGCTATGTTTCGTTCCTAGCGTTCCACCCACGGCACCACCAACGATCGCACCCAGGACGATCAAACCGAGAACAAGGCCCGCGATCAATCCACGCTTCTTGCGAGAAGACATTCCACCACCCATCGCGGCCTTTTCCTGTGCCGCGGCACTTCTCGATCCAGCCTCCAAACCACCGCCCGGCACAGGTCCATATTGCGGATTCGCGGTTCCGCCGCGATTGAACATCCCACCGAGAACACCTCCCGCGGCAGCTCCGCCTGCAGCGCCAGCAGCCGCATTCCGCGATCGAGGAATAAACTCGTCGTCACCGTCGTCGGCGATCTCATCTGGGTTGATATCGGCAGGAACATGCCCGGTGCTGTACTGCGACTGTCGTTGGTATGGTCCATCACTCACGATACCACCATTGTACGACGAACCAGAATACTGATCCATCATACTGCGCCGATTCGAAGAACCTCCATCACTGAGTTGTATCGACGACTGGCCAGGCGTCTGCACACCGGGCGGATACCCCGTCGCGCCGAGCGCCATGTTCGAACCATACGACTGCTCTGGCCGCAGCGAGTCTGAGCTCCCCAAGTCAGGCGTATAAGGAATATAAGGGTTGTCCGAGCCGGTCGTATGGTATCCGCGCTCGGCAGGACCGGAGAAACCGTCGTGGTGATCCATACCGCGAACTGCGTCGACGCCGCTTAAGCGATCGTGGCTGTTGGCGACACCGAGGGCGATTCCGCTGATACCGCCGCCGACCGAAGATGGGCCGAGATTGTCTACGCCGGGGGTGACGGAGGAATTGTTTCGTAGAGATGGGGTGTAGCGATGAGGCGGCGGCGCGGGGATGTCGTTGTCGTCGTGGTTCATTTGAGAGTCAACAAAGTCCGGCTGACCCCGGACGGGACGGGAGTGGTGTTAGGGTCAGGGTCTTTTAAGGGTCCGCGGGAGGACGCGAGGGTTACAGAGGATGCTTGGGGTGTAGTAGTGGGGTGTGGTATCTTTGTCGACGATCCTTCTGTCGCGAGGAATCTGGACGGGGAGGAGCGGGAAAAAAGAAAAGAAGGAAGTGAGAAATGGAGGGAATCAGTTAAAGAACAGGCATCGCCGACCCTGTCAAAGATCCACGGTTCCCGAGATTGAGCGGAGCGGGACACGATTTGAGAGGAGCCTTGGGAGGAACTGGGGCGCAGTTGTGTCAGGTAGAGAGGATCAGTTGCAGGCCGTGGTTTCCCTTTTTCTTGAAGGAAGAATGAGGGAATGAGAAAGGAGAAAACATGAACTGCAAGAGGCGTTAGGCGACCGAAAGGAGAAAAGTTTGGAGGCTGCTGATGGCTGATGACGGCTGATTGCAGTCAACAGTGTTAACAGCCAAAACGAGTCCAGCGTGGCCGGGACAACCGCGTTTGGGGGAGGAAGAAGTGGATCAGTAGGTACACCCTAGTTAACTTAGTTAATGAACTTGAGTTCATTCAGTACGGAGTACAGTGAATACCGAGTCACAACTATTATTATACTTTAGTATCATATCACAGATTGCATCCTATGTATTGAAATATCATGCATTTCATTAATGGTCCTTGTCAAATTCTCTCCGAGTCCATCCAATTAATATTTCTGTTCTCGGAAGGGTCCTGTCACTGTCAATGTGGAGAGTGGGGCTCAGCTGTGTCCCTGGCGAGTCCCTGAGTCCCTGCGGTTCAAGTGTCCATGCTATTTTTGGCCGAGAATGCGACCCTTGGACTGGACACGACAGTACTACCATGGATAGTCCGGTCTCGGTATACACTAAACAGGATACAAAATATACATAAGACATAAGACATTGAAACCATCATAATTAGGCTATGCCTAAGCATCTCTAATGTCTCAGTGATAACACACTGGGGTCGTGGGCAAAGCTCAGTATGATAGAAATGGAAGACATTTCACAATAGGAAGTCCCCTGTATAACAGCCAGGACTCGTAAGCCCAACTAATCCAAGTACCTCATTTCCACGCCGTACATAATCCATCATAATCATAGCTATTACCAAAAGGAATAAAAACCCTGCGCCGTTGCAAATCCATTCCCGGTTCCCACTCGATTGTTTTTGATTGTCGATCCCTTCATACATCGCCGAAAACAAACAAATAAAGCGCCCCAGAGCAGATCAGTACTAACCACCAACCCGTCATCAAAAACGATCCATAAGATAGGATAGAATAATCAGAAACAGCAAAAGGCAATCGTCTACTATAAAACAGCAATAAACAATCGCTCACGTAAACAGTTGTTCATCCCATCATAAGTCCAAGCAAGATCATCCATCATCATCAACATCCCAGTATCTACCAATAGAGATAGATAGATAGACCGGGCTATACATCTCCATCTCCATCTCCATCTTCTTCACCCACAAACTATAGAGTATATATAGACTAACACTCCACCTCCTCCACACTCCGCCGCGACGCACTCGGCTCCCCAGTCTCAACCTTCAACCGGTGTTCCCCACGCTCCAAGAACCGCCGCTTCCCGCGCCGCGTGTCAAAATGCTCGGGAATCTCACTCGCATCCTGTCCCGCAGCCAGCATACTACTGCGCATTTTATTCCGGTAGGCATCCACTAGATTCAAATAATTGTTAGCAGGGAATCAAAATGTACCAGTTTGGTTTGGTTCGGGTTCATCTCGATAAGTGAGACTATGTCTCAGCCGCGTTCGGCACGTGGGCGCGCTAAAGCACGGTCCTCGGCATGGAAGGGATGGAGATGACATGACAGCAATGAACACGAGGGATGAGGCTACACGAAGACAAAAAAGGGATACGAGAGCAGACAAGGGGTTTGGTACTTACGGGATCGCTGCAAAAATAGCGTCCGCCCAGCAAACACCCGGCTTTGACACCAACTCAGTCGATATCCAAGGTCATTCAGCATGACTTCTTTATGATGTCTCCGCCTCGAAAGCTGAGGCACATCAATCTCCCGCTCACCATCTAGCGAAGGCGCAAGAACACTCGTCCGACTCACGGTCGCATCAGACCCATCCCCATGCTCCGTATCATCCCGGAAGAAGCGCTTATTCGGGACGCTCGTGCCAGGAGCATCCTTCATCTGCACGGGGAAGTAAGTGCGCGGATAGACGGCATTGGACATGCGATAGGAATCGGGGATTTCGTCCATGTTGACTTTATCCAGCATGACTTTGACGCGGACGCGGGCTCCGCGCTGCGGGTCCTCGATTAGGATGAAGGTGCGCCGTTTGCCGTCCGGGAGTTGGCCGAAGAGATCTTCGTTGCTGGGGCTGATGTTGCCGTCGGTGGTCTCGGCGCTTGTGTAGTCCATGTGGCTGGATGTTGCGATTGTGTGGTGACGACCGAGCGCGCTGAGGCTGGTGTCGCGGAGTAGGGGTGGCATGGATGGACCGATGCTGGAGGAGGTGGGGATGGTGGTGGCATCGTGGAAGACTTGAGCGGCGCGGATGTCGCTGGCGAGTTGTGCGGGACGCTGAGTAGCGCTGGTGTAGTCTGTGGTGCCTATGGGGAAGGAAAAGGAAAGACGAGGAGAAATTAGCCTACGCTTGAACTTGCATGTTGTGGATGGTGTTGGGCCCTCGATGAGTCCAACAGAAAAGAAATGAAAGCATGAAGAGGCGCGCGGCGGCATCGATGATAAACAGAACGGCGTTGAGGGTATGAAATAATGAAAGCGCAGGGAAGCCAAAGAGAAGAGAACAAGAAATGACAGAGCCAGAAGAAGAAGCAAGACCATATCCAAAGCCAGCAACCTGATAAATAGAGATACACCCGTGCAACGTCTCGTACAGAAGAAGCCATCAACATCGTCGACATACACCACAGCATAACTCCCCACATATACACATACATTCAACCATGAGACATTCAAATGGAAGAAGACGACAGCATCACTCAACACCCATTCCAATCCATCAAGATCCAAACAGGTATAGAACAAAAAAAGAATATCAATCGAAAAAAAAAATTACTAGAGAGCCATAAGAAACGACTCCGCCGCGCGCATTGCACCAAGGAGAAAAACATCGACAGAAATCAAAACATATCACATCGGTTGAAACATACCGTCCTCAATCTTAGGGCTCCCATCTGGTTGAGCGTGATGATGATGCAACTGCGGCGGTCCCATCGACATAGGCGGACCAGAAAGACTATGTCGTGGACCCTGAGGCATCGACATCGTCGGGGTACTCGGCAAACTGGGTCCCACGGGACCTGTTGCAGACATATGCGGTGTCGGCGGCGCCATCGCCTGCTTGCGATAGTTGACCTTGGCCTGACGGCGGACTCGTCGACTGCGCAGACGCGGGTCTTGGTTGCTGTTGCGCCAGCTATCGACAGCACGCTGGATGAGTCCTCGCTTGCCGCGGAGCGAGGGGTTCAGCTCGGCGAGTGCCCAGCCCACGGTGTTGCACTCGGTCTCGTAGACCAGTCGGTTACCGCGATACTGGTCTTTGTTGCAGCAGGCGCGGGGGTAGACGCAGTTCTCCGTTTTGAAGTCTTGGCTGAGACTGTCCACGTTGACGGACTCGACGTCACAGCGGATCGTATACTCCATCTTGACGCGGTCACGCGAGTACTCGAATGCGATCCATTGCACACCATTGCTGTCCTGTCGCACTACCAGTGGCGTGGTAGCTGGGATGGGACCTGGGGCGGCGCTCGAGCTCGTCCCCAACGGGGATGTTTGGTGGACGTTGCCTGCTTGTAGGCTGTTGTTGCCGGGCGAGGGAAGAGGTGGGTTCAGCATTGGTCGTTGGGCTGATGCGGACTGGGAATTCGGATCCATTTTCATGATGGGGCTGCTGGACAGCGCGTTAGAGGCGTGTGATTGTTGGTGCGGTGACATCTGTGCCGTGGTCGTCTGAGGGGGCATCATCATGGATTGCGAGGTGAGGGTGTGTGATTGAGGGGACGGATGCGCGGCATAAGGCGACGGTTGCACCGGGTTCATCGGCGAATATGGCGCATAGCCGTACATTTGATGCGGCATCTGGGGGGACTGGGTGTACATGTTGCGACCATGCTGATCATGTGGCTGTGAAGCTACAGATGCTGGCGAGTTGGATTGAGGGGTGTGGTAAATTGGGGGGTAAGCAGGTCTCTGCATTTGAGCGGTGGTTGCCATGAGGTCTGGTGGTCCTATCACTTCATACATTAGATCGTCTGTCGCGTGTTCATGAGCTGTTTTCAACGCAAAATTATGAAGTTATAGAAACACTCGATCCTCAAAACACAGCGCGCAACTGTAATATCATCGTATAAATCCAGCAAAAAAGGAAAGAAAGGAAAAGCAAAGAAAAACCCTGGGCTTACCGCTAGATGGATATGGGTTCGAAGCTGCGGCGGCTGAATATGACGTTGGATGGGTAGTATAGTAGGGTGACTCTTGCGCCGGTTGTCCGTACGCACTATGAGAATGTAGGACGCCGTTCCCTAGCGGTTGATGTGAAGGGTAGGTCGAAGTTGGAGTAGAGGCCGTAGACTGAGCTGGGGAAATAGGACTTTGTTTCCCAAGTGGCGCGAGACCTAATCGTGGCTGCTGGAGAGATTGCAAGTGAAGTGTGCTCGGACGCGCCGAACTACCGTGTCGAAGCTGTTACAGGGGCACATATCAGTTTGACTGGAGACTTTCGAGGACTTTCGCCCAAGGTCGCGAGAGGTGGTACAGCCACCTTAGAACGTGGGAAGGAGGAGAGAACTGAGAGAACTGAGGGGGAAGAAGCAACTAGAGAACACAGGATTTTCCAAGTGACGACATCAACGAGGGGATTTGGAATACTCCCAAAGCTTTGGAAGAGACAGGCTCCTAGGCTTTCTTGGGGGAGGATGTGGTGAGAGGGTAAGAATGAGGAGGGTTGCCACCGATGAAGCCTCGAGCAGGGATCGGCTTAGGTGCGTAACAAAGGACCAGGATCATAACAGGGATGTGCTAGTCAGGGCCTAAAGAGAAACCACGGATCTGTGTAGCGCTGAAGAGTTCGCGACACTGCGAGTGGTTCATTTTTGTTCCGAAGGGACCAAGCACTCCAGCCTGATGGTTTTGTCCTGCCAGTGATGCGCTGATACACTTGGTACACAGCCTTCGGGGACTTGAGCTTTTCATCGTGCGGGCGCTCCCTCCTGATATCTAGTCCCCGTTTCAGGCTGGTTCTGCGTAGAACAGACTTTGTGGGGACCAAGCACTCTGTGTGGGCTTCAGAAAATGTGTTTCGAACTGGATCGGACTGGATGTGTGGGCAATGGCACGCGGCGCATCGAGGAATTTCAGCCTCGTGGCGGGCATCGACTCCAGCATGGTAGAAGAATGATACCTCGCCTCAATTGACAGATTTAAGGCTTTTAGTTTTCGTTTTGTCCGAGTCTTTGGTCACTCCTTGGTGCAGCCCTCATCCTCGCAAAGGTTGCTTGATAGTCCCAGAGGTGAGGTGGTGATGTTTCCGTGGGAGAGAAAAAGGGCAGTCCACCACACAATGTGAGATCCTCCCCATGATATAAGGAAAAACAATGAAAGGGAAATCCAAGAACGGATCGGAATGATATTGTAGTAGGAAGATCTTGCAACTCAATCTATGCGCGTGTGCTTGCAGGGCAAAAAAGAGAAAGGCGAGGGCAAAGGACGAGAAATGTAAAAACATCACGTATCAAGGTAATTGTAAAGAGAGGGAGAAACAATGAAAAAAATGCAAGATGATAGGAATTGATCTAGTACTCACTGAATCATCAACTGACTCTTCCTTGTATTTTGACACCGCAAGAGGACCAAGGTCAGTCTGTACCATGCCGGTCACAGGGAAGACCTCTGGTGTAGTCTGGGACAGAATCTCCAGCTTTGATGCAGAATGGGGTAGGTTGGTGGGAGGACAAGGACAAGGACAAGAACCGGGGGGAAGAGGGACGAGAAAAATAGAAAAGCAACTAGGATGCGAGGCCGAGGAAATTTGGCGCACTCCAAGCGGAGAGAAGGAAGAAAGATGGGGAGAGGTCGGGAGGATCAAAGAACCCGCTAGATGCAGTTCCCGTACGGTTAGATAGAAATAAGGTACCCGTAGGGTTCAAAAGGTGTGTGGAAAAGGATGATGGGTCCAGTTACTCGGTCCAGTCGGTTTGAGTCGGTTTAGTCGATCCTGTAGGTCCAAGTATAAGGCATAATAAAGTGCAAAATAAAATAATAAATCGGATAAGGTCGAGGTCGCGAAGGATGATAATCCCGAGATGAGAGGCCTGGAACTAGCTGCGCGACACAATGGAGGCTGTGATGTGGTGGACTGGGATGGAGTGAATGGCTTGGAGGGGTTGGTTGCGACTGGGGTTTGGGGCGCGATAGAGGGGGTCGATGCGTGTGAAGGCAAGTGGAGGGTCCAGGGTCATGATCGATTATTTAGCTGCACTCCGGTGAGACCCTTGCCCGTTATATTTCAATGGGGAAGTTTTCTAATTTAAAGCCGATGAGTGAGCGAGTTGGTTGGTGTAGGATCGGCCGGTAGAACGGACGAGGAAATAAAGGAAAATGGAGGAGAATAAAATAGAATCGAAATATGATCATGAAGAAGACAGAGAACAGACAAGAAACGAGAAAAATAAATCATAATCTCGAAAACTAAAAAAAAGAAAAAAAAAAGATTATAATTTAATTCGAATAATCAAGGAGAAAGAGAGGAGAATTGGAAAACAAAATTCCCCCCAAAAATGACCGATGGGGAATAGTCACCAAGAAACTAAAAACGCGAAGATTATTAAAAGAAGAAAAAAGGTTTTAATGATAAAACCAACCCAGAAAAGGTTATAGAAGGACAAACTACAACGACTACGACGACGACTCCGTACAGTAGTGACTAACTAGAAAATCTAGAGGAGCGCCGACTTGCGAAGAGAGGGAGAAAGACGACTGGCCAATAGATCTGGTATCAGGATGGGCTGGTCGCTAGCGGAAGAGTAGTGTAGTGTAATAATGACCAGGATGAGTGCAGGACGCAGGGAGATTACAGTCGCCAGCGACTCGTCCGGTAAACACCCGAGCCTCAAGAGAAAGAAAGACAGTCAACGACAGCTGCCTAGCCGAGCTGGAAGGATCAGTCGCGGAAGAACAAGCGTATGGACTGGACAAGTGAGAAATATAGAGGTCAAACTATGAGACGAGGGAGGTATGGATATGCCATATCCATGGCATTCAACATTTGTGGACGACAGGTTGGACGACAGGAGGAGAGGGGGGTGAAGGAAAATGATGATGTGCAGGATGCAGAACGGCGTGAGTGGCAGTAAGAACAAGTGCCAAGTGGGACACGCAAAAGGCAATCGAGAAAAGACCAGAAAGCCAAATCCAAATCCAAAATAATAATCAAAAAAAAAAATCAAAAACCATCGTGTAAAAGCCACTGCTTAGCCTCGACTGGTGGAGACTGGGGGAGAACCCCATCTTGGTGCCTTAGTGCCGAGGGGGGGGGGAAACAAGAGATGGAACGAGGTCATCGCGGGCTTTAACCTGGACCACGGAAGAATTCAAGGCTACAGAGTGTGTTGAATCTACGCTAACGACGGGAAATAGACGATGATTTGCACTCACAGATTCCCGTCTTCCGTCTAACGACAGCAAGTGAGCAACTTCTCGAAGGTCTCCGCCCAAGTAAGCACATTAAACGGGGTTGGTTATCAGACCGCATTCTTTGTCTTTGGAGTACCCTCTGTAGATCTATACTCGGTTGGTTCCAACGGCGGAAAAGCAAGCATGGCAAACTGGATCCAAGGGACGAACCAACCATCGCACTCATACCCCACTCCAGTCTCAGGTCGGTAAACGGAGTCGACCAACTGTCTACTACTGAAATCACGGCAAGAACCATTCCTCGGAGGCAGCGGAGGAACGGTGATACGTCCAGGAAAACAAAGGCAGAGCGCCCGCGTTGGCCTTGACGTTGGGACCTCCCCTTCGTAATTAGGATTGGTGCAGCCGGCGCAGCAAGTCAACGCAGACGCAGGACAAGCAGGACAGACAAGACAGACAAGACAGACAAGACAGACAGCAGACAGGATAGGCAACACAAAGAAGGTGACGTGACGTACCCGAGGGACTTGAAATTGGATTGGACTAGAGGGTTCCGGCAGGATTCACCTGGAAATGGGAGACACCATACTCTATACAGGCAAGTGCCGATAGCAGAAACGATTCTAGTCGTCCAAAGGAACAGAAAAAGTGAGTTCCAGAAAAATTCATCCAGAAAGAGAATCAAATGAAATCGGAGCCTCGAAAGGAAAGTTTATTTCCTTCGCCCTTTCTTCCATCTCACCTTTTTTGGTCTTTGGAGCCTAACCCTCCGTCCGGACCCGATCGCCAATTGGGCGGGGTGAACAAAGGCAGAGAGTAGCAAAGTGCCCACAACTTGAGGTATATATTACTTCTGTTAGCTAAGTGGCATGGGTACGTACTGTAGGTATGTATGCTCCATGTTCTAAAATCAATGGCAGGTCGGATTATGAGACGGGGTCTCTGGCGACTAATCCAAGAATAACAGATGTTCTCTTCGGTCGATGGAGTCTAGAAGTGATCGGCGTGAAGATTAAACGCCCCCAGTGGACCTCGGAAAGGCTGAAAGAATGGGAAAATAAGACCATCATGCAGGTCCGGGAGTCGAAAGCAAAAATTACGAAGACAAGACGAGGAGCGAAACGTCTCACAGGCTGACTAGAGAGGACTAAGAAAGAACGGTTGACATCGGGATCGTGCAGCGTGGACAGTTTCAGGTACCAATTCCGGAGAAGAGCAGACGGAGTAGTGATGGAAGTAAGATTTCCCTCCAAAGTATATCGAGTTTGGACAGGGCTTGCCATGCAAGCTGACTAGGTTACACACGATCTCACGACGCCATTTTACTATGTAGTACCATAGTAATCCTTTGTAGTCTATACGGAGCAGTACGGGGGAGTCTTGACTTTCCAGTATCAGTCTTGTTTCCACGGCCTCATCCAACTATACACAGTCAACTACTGAACACATTTCACACTTTACGACTGGAC